TGTACCCAAATGACCTAGGACAGACCTTGCCTGCGTGTGTCGCTGTACCCAAATGACCTAGGATAGACCTTGCCTCCATGTGTTGCTGTACCCAATGACCTGGGATAGACCTTGCCTGCATGTGTCGCTGTACCCAAATGATCTGGGATAGACCTTGCCTGCGTGTGTCGCTGTACCCAAATGACCTAGGATAGACCTTGCCTCCATGTGTTGCTGTACCCAAATGATCTGGGATAGACCTCGCCTATGCTGTTGGACAAAAAACCAGCTCATTAATCTTTCTTAGGGGAAGCTAGACACTCAGAGTGTCACTAGAATGGGTAAAGATAATAGGAGTGGGTGGAGTCAATAGTGGCCCACCTCCAACTCATCTTTTTCTTGTCTTTTAATACAATAGAAAAACTTTACAAACAAGTGCAGCATATACATAAGCCTTGAAATTATTACACCCCTACTACAACTATCGTCTATCTGCCAAGGTATAGAAACACATCATACGTAGGAATTCAAACCATTACCTACAATAGTTTCATTTCAGAAATACAGATGGGCCCTCTGATGTTCATTTCTCTTGTCAACACAGATTTGTCCTTTCATTTTTAGTGTTCATACAGTCCTGAAAATTATTGGGTTTTTGGGGGGCCAAACTCATTGATCATGTCAGACAGATGTACATAGATCTCAACCATTTCACTCCTAGTAACCCATGGGCACCAGTGTAAAGTTTCATGTATTTAACTCATGAAGACCTCCTTACCCGCCAGTGTCAGCTACCGGTATATGGATTTGAATTCATCGTTTTGCATTTGTGTGGAAAGCAGTTAATAGCTGACATAGTTCCTATGGCATAAGATTCATTTCTTGTTTTATATCAATACTTAAATTTTGGTATTTTAATAAAATGTGACCTTGTTTGCACTTTAGTCTGTTTCAACCATAAGTCTGGTTGAATTTGTCAGGTACATGGAGTTTCCACTATCTGCCAAAATCTAATGAAACATTGCTTGTATGTTTATTGTTTATTCTACAAAACTGGAATATCAGACCCTCGGTATTGGAAGGAACAGAAACTGGACTTGCTGCTCTTTAATTTAAAATGCCACATTAGATTTTGGCATGTTTAGCAGATTTTTAGAAAGGGAGAAAAACCGACAGCTGCATTAACAGGTACAAATTTCAATTTCCAGGAAGTGAAATCAAGAATTTTCTCTCTCAATTTGAATTTTCCAATGAAACCCTTTCAGACTCTTCTCAAAGACAAGTTAATCATTCAGAACTGCAAGTCTCTTCTATCATAAAGAAACCTCCAATCATTCCTTTTAAGCATCCCATGTCATGTTGCACTCTTGAACTGATGACATGCCCATTCAATACAAGTGAAACTAACTTCTGAAAGTCATTTTGGTTCACTTAGTAACTCTTGATTGAATGAGCTTTTCCTATCTTTTAATGACCCTCACATTATTTGATAATTCCTCTTTTTTTTAACTTCTTAACCTTTTCTTGCCTTAAAAAATAATTCTGAGACCACATCATTTGCACGCACAATTTGATTCACACAGCACAATTCACAAGCCATGCATGCTGTTTTGGCGTACAATTTGGAGAGTACTTTATCTACATACAGTGTAAATCTCAGCTGAAAATGAAGGTTTGTTGACAATTTATCTCTAAATATGGCACTGGAATACCCCTTACAGGTTCAACAGCACATTCCATTACACAGCCTTCACACAAACTTTTATGACAAATGGTTACAAATTAACCTGAATGTATTTCTGTTAGGAAACCTCAACTGATGGAAACAGGTCTCACCACAGTTTCAAGTTTGTTCTAGATTTTACACCAAGCGAAAAAGCCACATAAATTTCAATCAAACCTTAATTTTCAACTCAAATGTTCTAAGCAACCAACAAGACACAAGAAAAATGTCTCATTTTTCCCCCTTCCTATTAGTTTTTTTTAAATTCATTTTCTAAAAATTTTTCTTATAAAAACTTAACCGCAAGATTGATATTCACAAGCCTTTTTAAATTCTTAGTATGGAACAATGATGAAGAAGGGAAGTTATGAAGCAATCAAGCAAACCCACTGCTATATATCAGAACAGAGACATTCTAATAAACATAACCCATTCCAATTCACCCCCCAAAAATGAACAATTTCCACATATATGTGTGGGATTTCATATCTGTGATTTAGAGTCAGTGTCTTCTGAAGGCATCAGTGTGACTGGTGCTAAATGTGTCACAGATACAAGTGCTAATGTGTGCAAACATTATTGCCCAAAGTTGGAAGTGTATTAAGGTTGCTCTTATACTAGCATTAGTTAATTTCAACATACGCTTTCCATTTTTAGCAGTTAGTAATTCTAATCATTTTTTCAAATCAAAAGCATTCTTTTCAGAAGACATTTATAATACAGCGTTAAACTAGAAAGATTTTACTTTACAACAAAATGGCCCGAGGGAAATATTACACTCCATATGTTCATAAGACTCACTGTACTTTCTTGGCAATTTGAGTTGAAGGATGGAGCTACATGAACGGATTGGTGGAACGTTGAGACTGTGATTGCTGGCTAGAGAAATTATCCACTTGACCCTGATGAAAGACAAAGAAGAAAAAATAACAATCACTCTCCATATCCGGTGGACTTAGACTCACAACCTGCTATCGACGTGGTTGGACATGAAATAACAAGATGCAGCATGGACGATACGGGTTGGAACAAACTTAAAGGGCTTATGACATTGGAACTGAATAGTGATAGTTATCAGGACCTACCATGAATGGATTGGACTGCTGCTGTGGCCAGCCACCTGTCGCTGCTGTCATGCCTTGTGGTTGAGCCCCAAAGCCCATTCCACCTGCTGCATTCTGTGGTGTTCCCATGGATCCTGGCAATCCAAGTCCAGCCCCAGCTGCTTGGCTCATACCCACAGGCTGCATGGTATTCATCCCTGGCTGGGTAGGGGCTCCAAATCCCCCTTGCATGGTTCCTCCAAACCCTCCTTGACCAAAGCCCTGGCCAGCTCCAGCCATACCTGGCTGGGCAGCAGTACCGAATCCTGCCTTCATACCACCACCCATGGCTGCACCACCTGGAGGGAAACCCGCTTGTGGTTGCATCCCAAACCCACCTCCCATTCCACCCATCTGTCCTTGTGGTGCACTCCCTTGCAAGGGTGTCACACTCCCAAATCCCCCTTGGGGAGGGAAAGCCCCTCCTTGTGGCTGGTTAAACCCTCCATTCATCAAACTACCCGTGGCTGGACCCATTGAACCCGTTACCCCCTGGGTGGCACCAAATGCCCCAAACCCACTTGTCTGGGGTGTAGCTTGAGAGCCCAAGCCCCCCATACTGCCTGTGTAGACAGGTTGTGTGTTAGTCTGTCCCTGCATTCCCGATAAGCTTGACTGGCCACTGAAGGGATTAGGTCCTGCCAGGAAAATGAAAGCCACAATTGCTTGAAATTTCAATAAGTAGACATAAAGCAACTTTTGTATATTGAGAACTTCAATAGGCTTGCTGAATGAAACTCTGTTGGGTTTATCACTTCAATAGCCCCTCCATTTCAAAAAAATTTCACGGAGGCACCCCACACCATCAAAAAACCTGAGCTTTGATTCGTGCTGGTTAATTGTTTGTGGTCATGTATCAGCCATTTCAACTACAAATTACTGCCAAACAATTAATATTTTCCAACTTACCAGAGGACATGAGACTCAGTCCGCTGGATGTTGGCTGCTTAATGTTTGTATTACTTCCTGGTCCCCAATCAATTCCACCTCCACTCAAGAGACTAGATCCACTTGCTTTGTTTGGCCCACTCCAATCAATGGAGCCACCAGATGATGACCCTCCTCCACCTGTCCAGTCTATACTTCCAGACCCTGTACTTCCGCTAGCTCCATCTGCCGCAAGACTTGAAAAAATGGCATACTTGTCGGCGCTTGAGTTGACTTGTTGTGCTGCTGTGCTGCTGGAAGTCGATGTTGTTAAGCTGAGGTTTAGTAGAGACTGTGCTGTCTGGTTGACTTTGGCGTTACTCCCTGTAGCTTGAGTCAAAGGAGGAACTGAGCTGAATGCTGCAAAACCACTGCTGGCTGGTTGAGATGGGACAGCAGCGGCACCAAAAGCATTAAAGCTTGCACTAGCTGGTACAGCGTTGATACTGGTGCCTGTCTGTGGTGCGGCCTGACCAAATGCATTGAAGCTAGTAGAAGAAGAAAATGATGGCGTGGCACCAAACGGATCAAATGTAGCTGGTTTATTTCCTGTAGTGAAGAAAAGTTGACAATCAATACAAAAATACATCCATTCCAGTAATAATGACATGACAACATGGAAGATTACCAAGTACAATGTTTATCACCAGCATGTAGATAATTGTTTGCGTTATACATGGTGATAATTGGCATGCTTTCTTTTTAACAGTCATATACCTTGGGCAGCTTGACCTGAGAATGCCTGGCCAAAGTTTGCAAATCCACCTGATGGTGCAAAGAACATAAACAAGAAATGGCAGAAGTGTTAAGATGGTGCTGACATTGGGACATCGAAGATAACCTTGTTATTATTACAGGAATGGAACGATGTTCACGGGATATTGAATTAACAAGGCCCCTATTAGCGAGCTCCGATGATAAAACAGTATTCATTTGGTGTCTTAAATGCTGCTCTAAATCATCATGCAATCAACGCTTACAATGATTATATATTTCACTGAAATTTAGTCTGAAAACATACATTTTATCAAAGTGTTGTTCCATTAAAGTAAGGTCGTTAAATATAGAAAAAACTGCTACAATTGTCAATGGGTATAATGAGTAACCTGACAACACCACTACATCTTAAGGCGTCTTTCCATATGTACGTTTTTGGGGTGCGTTGCGCACACATAATGACATTGTGTTCATGTGTTTCAGTTTTACAGACACAAAAATTGACTCCATTAACGTAACACACGTGTGTTGCATTCAGCCTTTAGACACACTCCAAGAGTGATTTTTTGACAAATACGCAACCCTTAGCGGAAGTGTTGGCGTGCATGTGGAAAGGCGCCTTTATCATTTCAAGTTGAGATCATTTACAGAAATCACTTTACAGAAAACACAGTCATTATAACTGATTGAGAATATTGTACACTGATTCATTAAGGAAAACAGCAATTATCTCAAACTTTTGACTACTTTTCAAGAGATGGTTTGGATTGGTCTGTCACAATTTTAGAAAATCTTTTGGCCTACATCTCAAGGTTTGGTAGTCCCAGCTAAGCTACTTATTCATATATTTAGTTACAATCTTGCTGCACCTGCTGATGCTGCTGTTTGCTGCGGTTGTTGCTGTGGCTGGCTGAATGGATCTCCACCTAGATCTCCCAGTAAATCCATGGATGGTTTCTGCTGGCTTGGTTCTGATGTTGCTACTTTAGAGTGAGCCTGTAAGGCTGGCCCAGGCACAGCACCAGGCATCGGTAAGGAGATCTTGGCAGCTACCTTAGTGGTAGGAGGCGAAGATGATGAAGAGGACAGTGTCTGCAATATAAGATATAAGATAAAACATATAACGTATAGTACGAGATAATACAAGAATAGTGTTGTTAAGACTACCATAAAAACATACATGTACATGTACTGTACATGGCCGATCAAATGGTGGGCAGATGGCAGCATGTTTTCCCGGAGGATGTCAACGTAAACTGCGGCGTTGATGTTCTCGTTGACCCGCACCAGGCTGCCGACACCGGCGGAACTCATGCAGCCCCACACCATGATCCTGGATCCCCCATGCTTCACGGTGGGCACAACACACTTTTCGTCAATCTCCTCCCCCACAGTCCTCCTGACGTAGACCCATCCATCACTTTGGAAGAGCTGAAATTTTGATTCATCGGACCATAAGACCCAGCTCCAGTCATTGGCGGTCCACCCCACGTGCTCTCCGGCCCAGGCTAGCCGACGACGTTTATGCTCATCTGAAAGTGGGGCTTATGCCTAGCAACCCTGTCATGAAGCCCAGCTGCAGCCAATTTCCTTGAAACCGTACTGTGGTGAACTACAACCCCTGCATTGGCAAGCTCCATCACCAATTCACGGGCGGTCAGGAAGCAGTTGCGCCACGATGCCCTCACAAGCTGCTGGTCATCCCGCTTGGTGGTCGATCTCGGTCGGCCGGTGCGTGGTAGGGGTTCCATTGACCCAAACTCCCTCAATTTCCGGAGATTCAGCCAAACAGCATATTCGCTGATTCCCAGCCTTCTGGCAATTTCCCGGTTTGAAATTCCCTCCTGATTCCCGGCTTCAATCATCCCCTTTTCGCGAGTGGTATGTAACGTATTTGCTGGCATTGTGTTGCTGCTTTGCGTATCAAAGTGAAAGTATTGGTGTGCAAATTTTGTCGCCACGAGGTAGCCCGATTTGTCTAGTATCCATTTACCCTACACAGGCGGCGATATCACCCAATAATTATTCATAAGACCCAGTTTCCCGCCGCATCAGCTTTGCTTCCATTGGTTTAAATGCCACCCTTATAATATTCATGAGCTCATGAATACGTAATGAGGTATTTCAAGATGGCGATTTTACATGGGCGAAAAACAGTCGCTCGAAAGTTAGCGAAAAGAGGGGGTAGTGGCTGACTTCAGAAATGAGATTTATGAATTTATTTGATTAAAATAACTACACATTACAAGGGTGAGATGCTTTTTTTGTAAAGACTCAGTAATTTATTGCAAAACTGCAACGGAAAGTTTACAGCACAGGTGCGATCAGACTTTTGCACTGCAGTGAACATATGACACAGTACCCTGCAACCAAGTGATGAGTTCTGACATTTTGGCATTCGAGATGTGATGTTTTTCACGGTGGAGGTAGCCAGTAAAACTAGATGGGTTTGTGCTAGCACCATGGATGGATTTATCTCTTTTTTGACCATATGGGGTTCTGAAAAGAAGTCTGAACTTTGGCATTTCTTACCGTCTTGGGAGAATCACTTGCTACTATCTGCCTGAGTGGTTGGGCCTCTGGTGTGCTGTTACTGCTGCTGTTGTTCAGCTTGACTTGACTGGCAGGAATATACCATTTCTTTCTCTCATATTTCTGTACCATGTAATCCCTGACTTTCTGCTCATCTTTGGATTCCAATGAGGATCCTCGGGAATTGTCAAGGCCTAGCCATGTCTGCCTGCAAAACTGTCAGTGGGAAAATCGCTGTCAGTAACAATTCAATCCTGGAAAACTGAGTGACTCATTTCACTAAGCTACTCAACTACATGTACATGTACTCATAACAAAAATGTTTTATGTTACAAATTGATTGAGGAACAACATTCATCAGGATAAAAAAGAAACAGCTTAGCACACACACCTGCACACACATGTTCTTTTCAGAGAAAACATTTCTTTCATTATGCCTCATCACAGGACTGTAAAAAGTTGTACAACAAGTTTATTTCCACTTCCCTACACAGACAATATTGAACTTAAACACATAAAAAACATCAACTCTGCATCATTGTCCTAGAAAAACACAGTATGGCAATATTCTTGATTGATGTTTGAAATCTTCTCTTCATAAACTTTCCAGACTTTGACCTTATTCAGCTATACCGTGAATTGATTCTACATTAGAGCTCCTAACCAAATACATGTAAATACAACCCAAAGGTATTTTTACAACACTCAGAAAACATGATATATCAAATTTGAGTTTCAGCATAGATTATGTCTTATGAGGGTCATCTTTAGCAATGCCATAAATCCAGAGATTAGTTAAAATCCATTCTGCATGAGATTTTGGTATTAAGTTGCACCTTGACTCTAGTGCACAAATATATAGAAATATTTGAAGATTTAGGATTTGTTATTTTTAACTAAATAACTAGGAACATACTTGCTCAACCCTTCATATTGCATGTTCAAATTCATTGGTTGTAAAGGTCATACTAGTGGTGATTTTTTTCATGCCATACAATGTGGCAGTCACAATAGAATTTCTGTTGAGTTTTTTGGACAAAAGTCAAGTAAAAGATAAAAAGCACCAAGCAGAGCTAAGAGCAGCCATCTCAATGTGTATGTGTATGATCATCAAGTAAGCTGGATAAGGCAATGTGTTAACTGAAGACAATGTGGCGCCTGAAGAAATAAATTCAGTCTTACCTCATTACCATGTTTTTCCAGGAATTCAATTTCTTGCGGTGAGAAACTTGTCATAGAAATGGACTTGACTCGGTGGGGTGGGTTAAGACCCCGTCTGATAGATACAAAGGATCATAAATATACAATTTCACTAAAATGTACAGCTCTGAGTTAGATACATCTTTATCTGTGGATGTCTATCACAGTTCTCAGGACGTACAGAAGTCAAAAGGTTGTACCAGACCTTAGAATATACTTTGCATCAGTTCAAACTGGTTCCTTGCTTCACAGGGAAAGTATCAATAATTCTTGTAATGTTGATGAAGAAAAAGGTAGATGTATTAGAGTACAGTACTTGATACCAATGTAGCTTGACAACTTAACGTTGCTCTCAAATTGGCTTCATGTGGCATGTAGTCTTGTATAGGCCACAACCACATAGTCAGAATATTTCAGATCTATACTTGTACATGTACATGTATCACCCACAAAGGTAGCCAATGAACTGCTGAATTCATGACTTGCTCAATTTCTTATGCATCTGACGGGCCATTAGTGTCATTTTTATAGAATTTTAGCATGATAAAATGGACACCAACAGTAGAAGTAGATGTAATGTTTACAAACACTATACATGTCACAACAAGACTTTGGCACATGTATTACAAATAGGCCTCGGGGGGGGGTCAAGGCAAATAAGTGTATGATGGGAAAGAATCTTGCACCATAGCTCAACTTCTGCGGTTGTTTACAAAGTCTGTTATTTTCTATGGGGAGCCAAGAAAATGTTTTACATGTAGCCCAAGTACATGATATCGGTCCTAACAAAACTGGAAATTTTTCTCAGTCATTTTGTCAATCCAGATTCACATAACTCATGTCTTTTCTGTTTTCAGCATTTTCTGCAATGACCTACCTCAATCAAGATGGTATCTGACGAAAAAAGTGGAGGCTGGATACACCTATCATTAGTCTAAAAATAAATAATATTAGGCCTACTCGGCCTATTTTTGTTATAGCCGAGAATTAACAAACATTATGGCCATCTTACATTGTCTTAATAAACCCCTCACGTTAACGGTAATTCCAATGAATGCACGCCAAGATATACATAACCCAAAATATGCACTCGAGATTGAAATCAATAAAACCCGGCAATTCGGCATGGAGACTCATAGCCCCACTAGTGTGGCACGGACTCTCACTCCCGATCCATCCTTAGCCACACATCCGTATGTGCAATTTTGTGTCGGCGTATTGAACATTTTGGCGCACCCACTTATCATCGTGGGCGCAATTTCTTTTGCACACGAACGTGATTCTTGACCTTTCCGCTTTCTAAAAACCATTTCTTGAATGATTTCACTCACATTATTCAGGTATTTTCTGGTCTTTTTGCCTTTATCCATTCAATCTAACAGGCTCGCTCTCTCAGTCGCCATCTTTAAAGTAAGATTGTTGAACATTACGTCACTTGACCCTTCATCGTCTCGGCAGCTGTTCCATGTCAAGACATATGTAATAAACCGACTGAGCGATAAGATACTACATGTACCAATGGGCTCTTCCAAAACTTTGGCAGCAGTTTAGATGTCTTGACATGGAACAGCCGTCGAGACGATGAAGGGTCAAGTGACGTAATATTCAACGATCTTACTTTAAAGATGGCGACTGAGAGAGCGAGCCCGTTAGATTGAATGGATAAAGGCAAAAAGACTGGAAAATACCTGAATAATGTGAGTGAAATCATTCAATAAATGGTTTTTAGAAAGCGGAAAGGTCAAGAATCATGTTCGTGTGCAAAAGAAATTGCGCCCATGATGATAAGTGGGTGCGCCAAAATGTTCAATACGCCGACACAAAATTGCACATACGGATGTGTGGCTAAGGATGGATCGGGAGTGAGAGTCCGTGCCACACTAGTGGGGCTAGGAGACTCACAAACACGATAAACGCGATCACAATGCAATGAATGATGTGCAGGCGAAAACGTGTGACCAAGCCCATCACCATGCCCTCCCAAAATCTTTCACCTAAATCACACAAACTTACAAAATCCCGCTGCATCGAGTACAAACGAAGGATCCGACTGTCATGTTGACATATGTGGGTCCTCTTTGCTCGCAATCGAAGCATTTTTTGTTCTCCGGTTTTGTCCCAAGCTCCCGGAGAATTTTCAGATGTTTGTCATCTTGCTTCCGCTTGGTCGCCATGTTGGATGGGGCTGTGTCCTTGATGAGATCAGACGTTGGTGGCGCCAGCACATACAGCGGCACATTATCTGTTGGTGGTGGGCGTTGGAACATTTCGAGAGGAGGGGGAGGAACCGATGTGTTTTGTTTGTATGATTTTACGTTTTCTCCACAGTGCACTAAACTCAAATTGGACGGAAAAATTGTCATCCAAACTGTGTTTTATGTTGTACCATAATGTTCGAATGTCTATAACGTTACATCTTTTTAAAAAGTTTTACGTAATATTAATAGAGCCTGAAAGTAAAAGGTCACGCAGCGAGCTTCCGGAACCTTCGTGCGGTCCGCTTATGGGGATTTTTACATTGCGCCGTTCTATCGCGTTCGATAATTTATAGAAGAATAATTCCTCACTGAAACCACCCCGTGAAACATTCATGTAAAACCAAATTTTATCAACGACCTTTCACGTCCGACGATATCGTCCCTAGCCGGGTGTCCTTGTTCATGCAGTACACTTTCACTCCCCATGCTTACGTGAAAACGGGGTTGAAAAACTTAACAAAAATTTACCTACCAGAAGTCGATGGGTTCCATGTTCCATTGATTTGACATAACGTGGTTGTTGTCAGCAAAGGTTGAATATTCGAATCTTTCGTAAAAGTCGATCAGTGCTTTAACATTATTACCTTATAAATTAAAACACTTTGTAAAATATCTTGATTTGCTTTTATTTCGGCTTTTAAATTTAAAACCGTAAATATTTATCTGCCTACGAGATTGCCGCATTGGACTGTCCTTCATAATTTATATTTCAGATTTTCGGAAGTGATGGGTCAATTTTGGCAGGATATTTGTCTTTTAGGTCAGTTAATTTTTCAGTTTCTATAACTTAATATACCAACAAACATTTTCTAAGAAGTACCTGAACGAAAAAATATTCCAAATTCTAAATCTTTGCACGTTATATTTCCTGTCCAAGGGTTCTGGAGGCCCGCCATCAGGGGTCAACTTTCAGGCTCTAAAGCGAATTAAAGAAAAAACTTACAATTATAATTAAATATAACTACATTTAAAATGAATATAACAGACATAAATATAACATGCAGCTGAGTTTGCCTGAGATATACTTGCCTATCTATTTAAACAAAGTTATATTTTTCCATTCTACCCCGTTTCATAGCTGCACATGTGGCAGTGTGTGGTACCGGTAACTAAAGGCTTGTCGTGACTTAACCTCATGTCGGACCTACCCAAGTCTAATTTTGGTTTACGGTTCATTGCGTCATTGTCGACCTGTGGTTTTCCTATCGATGTTGTATCCACATTCCCGCCATTCGTAGAGCCTAGAGGGGTTACATAAGTGGCGGAAGGCCAGAACCTGATCAAAGTTCACTTGTCCGTGACTCTCTGCCTATTCTGCCACATGGCTGTTGCGTTGTGTCCATGGTCCGATTTTGTTTGACCACCTGAACGTGTCGCAAATTTCTTCCATGGTTAGAGTGATCCTAGTGAAGTAGAGCCTCGATCGGTCCACGTTGGGGGCTGTGTTTTCTCAGAACCATGTCTTCTAACTCCTCTGACCACTACGTCGGACGGTCATAGAACAAGGGCACAGACGATAGACCACCAAGGTCCACAGCTCGTCGCCGGTTCCACGTTTCAGACCACCCTGTACGTGGAAGTGGGAAAGACTCGTAAGCAATTTGTCTTTGTGTGAATTTTGTCTCTCGTTATTTTTCTCTTGATTCCCCCTGCTCACGGACAAGGTAGCCCAGGCTAGATTATGAAGAAAGAGGGTAACGTTAGTTGTGCCAGTTGAATGATTTCATCAATGAGTTTTTACTGGAAGGCCCGGCTGCATTGTCACAGCTTCATACATGTAATCTCGCGAACGCCTGTAATCAATCTGAACAGTAGTTTCCATGCACAATGACTCATGGCGTCACCGCCTCCAGATTGAATCGTAAACTTTGCATAGTCTTCATCTGGACGTCATTTCCGTAAGGATTCTTCCTCGGAGGGTCGTATTATGCTTGACTTCACCCCTTGATTCAAAACGGAAAATGCATCTTTTCTATTTGCTTTCGTATGTCATACACTTTTGCTTTTCAGCCACTTTCAGGGTAGCTAGAGCTGTACGGTGTTCCAGTTATTCTTTCTACAAAATCAATACTTCCGGCTTTCTTCTTTTTCTAAGTCGCTCTTTGTTTCATCGGTCAGTTTGACCCATACGGATCATGCTCGTCCCTAAAAAGGAGCCAAATTTTTTTGCAAAGATGAGAAAAATTGAGATAAAGCCTTTTCGATTTATTTCATTTTGCTTTCTTTCCCAAGCGTATAAAATGCCCCAAATGTAGCCTCGCCCTAGAATGGCTAAAAGGATGTCTGAAAAAAATCCAAAATTCCTAACTCCCCCAGCAAAAACTTTGCCCCCCCCAAGAACTTGGTTCTTGATCCACTCTTGCCATCTGTCACCTTTTCGACTGTGATACACATGGTCTCTTCCTTCTTAAACTGTCGAAGAAAATCTGTGTTGCATTGAGACGGCGTGACTTGTATCTTTGTCCATCTGCTATAGTTTTCCAGAAAAAGGCTTAGTCTTCTGATAAGGAGGTTCACGCATGTATTCTTAGAGTTTTTTCCTCTTTTTTATTGAAACAGATACAAGTGAGATGTCCGAGAAGGTAAAAGAAAAGGAGAGTAGTCTCCAAGATAACGAACGACATTCTCAGAGGGAAGACAACGCCAACTCTACAAAAGAAACTGAAGATGCGCCAGTGAAGAAGAAGAAAGTATGGCCAGCCAAATACAACAAGGGGCCTTTTATTTGCGCCTACTGCAACAAGAAATTCCGAGGTCTTCTTGATCTGACTCGTCATGAACGCATTCACACCAACGAAAAGCCACTAGTATGTGAAGAGTGCGGCAAAGCTTTCGGAAGTGACAGTAGTTTACGATTTCATATCAATGGTCATCGGAATATTCGACCGTATGCTTGCCCTACCTGTGGGGCGACGTTTCGCCACAAGAATTCGCTTAGAGAGCATATGGTCGTCCACACAGACTTACGCCCTTATGTATGTGAAGTCTGCGGTACGGGAATGCGACAACGATCTTCTCTACGTAAACACATGCGAATTCACACGGGGGAACGACCTTATAAGTGTGAGATTTGCGATCGAGCTTTCCGATCTTTAGCTACCTGTCGATTACACCAAGAACGCCATGCTGACCCCAACAGCCGAGTCAATCGGATTCCGAAGGAGCCACGGAGGATTAGAAACAGGGTCAGAGGTTATCGGAAGTACTTGCCCAGAAGTGTCAGGTCGGAAATCACGCGGGAACTTTGCCGTCAGCTCAACAAAACGCAAACAGCGCCAATATCTACCCAGCTTCCTAAAAATGTGTTTTCTGTTATTACACCGCTCGAAATTTCCTCAGTTGATACTACATGCACAACGACGTCAGAAGCAGAGCACGTATCCTCAATCAGTCCAACAGGGCCTCTCTGTAACGCGTCCGCACAGACGTCAAATGTGTTGCCAGACGCAGCCAACAGACACCCTGAAACACCTGGGACAAAATTTACAAACGTCGTGAGTGTGTTGAATCACGCTACAAAGATATCACATGGTACGCTGGTAACACCTGTCTCACAAACTGTCACTCCTAGTTTCAGTCAAGGCAGCTTGTTATCACCTGTCACGCCCAGTGCTGCTCAGCTTCCACTCAGCATCAATGCTTCTGGAACTCTTCCAGGTATTATCTCCGCGTGCAATGTCATTCCTGTTGCCTTCGATAAGAAGGAAAGAAGTCCGGCCCATACCCTCTCTGCCAATTCGCCCATCTTGGTCAATGCGGATCAAGTTGTCACCTTCACGTTCACGCCATTAATGGTAATTAAGACGCCGTTCGGTGAACCCAGTACTAATTAATCAGAGACTATAACAGACTAACCTGCCTCGAGCAGAAGCACCCCCTCATCGGTTGAAAGGAGACATGTTGTCCTGGAGTACGAGTATTCATTTTGTTGGTAGCGATGCAACCGTAACGCATGCATTTCCTAGTGGTTCGCAAACCAGCGAAGTTCAGTTCCGCCCAAAGGAGCCGCCGTTGCAAAGAAAATAGCGCCCTTTCTTGGTCCAGTTTGAGGCCCATAGTACTGTGGAACATTTTTCTTTCCTGCACTAAGTTTATTCATGTGCAAGTCAAAAGTCCAATTTTTATGAAGTTTGTTAAAGGTTTTAAGTTAGCATAACTAAGAGTAATCTGATTTTTATAATGACGAAGATAACCATAATTTTCGCGTAGTCATGTATTCCTCAGTCATCCCATACATGAAAAGTTCTTTTGCAAAAAACTTTCTAGGTGTTGAGATTACCGCTTCATTCTGTATCAAGCTTAAAAGTGATAAGTCCGTGTGTTTTCTCTTGACTTTTTAAATGCTGCCATTTGGCAAATATTGTGGAAATTTTGTAATTGAGTTTTTCAGTTTTTTTCTGATATGACGAAACTCGGGTTCCTTGAATAGAAGTTAAGTTTTTTTGTGTGTGTTACAAAGCTCTTTAGCCTTATTGTCTGAGAGTTGAATAAATGCGTGCAAGATCAGAGCTTTTCTTTTTCATTGAAACCACACTCAAGTCGGATACTTGTACACGTATACACATTGTATTCGCAATGAAGAAAAATTCGCAGTATACAAGAGGCTTGTATATATTGAGCATTATTTAAATAGAATACTCAATGACTTTTGATGTCTTGTTATTCCGGGCGTATCCCCAATTTTAATGTTACTGGAATGATTAAAGAACTACATGCAGTTTCCATTGTAGCAACCTTTGTTAATCATTTAAACACCTATTTACTCTCATACTTATAGAGATCTTGTGCTATTTGCACGTAGCTTGAAGAACCTTTCGCTTCGGATCTTGTCCCTCTTTTATATAGTTTCATTTTGTTTCTCAGTGCCTGTGATACATAAAGAGATTTTTAGATCAACGAGCAGTCCGGAAAATCAACGTGTACATGGCATGAAAAAGCTGGTCACTTTTGTCATTAACATGCATGTGTTTAACCGTTGAGCAAATGTGTCGTCATGCGATTTGATGTATGTTTACTATATCATCCAATATGCATATACCTGTACTTAGGACCACGGACCCTCTTGAGTCCATGTTAGGATCAAGTTTAGGGGAGTGCTCTATCATGTACAAACACCAATGACAGTGTGAGCGGACCACCGTCAGACTGAGATGAAGTCTACTCCGCTTGCACCACGCCGTGCATGTCTTGTACAAGGAAGTACAAGTACATGTACTTCAGTAATAATTCACTGAAACGCTGCAATACGAGAAAACACGGGAGTTTTCATACAGAAAGCAGGTGCTTCCTTTGAATTCGACAACAGGAAGCGATTTTTAAACCCCGGTTTGTACGCCGACCATGACTTATATAAAACAAGGTTGCAACAGCTTGGGCTTCACTGTGTTGACCGAGTGAGCACGTGCACTGTTTATTGATTTTCCTGAAACTTGTCGTGGGAAAGGTATGTACATGTACACTGTACTGCTTTACTGAACTAGGCTGACCTTGTGTAAATTTTGGTAGGAATTACTTGAAATATGCTTCTGCTGCAGGCCGCATGACTGCGGCCCCAGTTAGTGGCTTCCAAAGGCGCATGATTCCCGACCGCGCCCGGCACAAAAGGAAAGTACGTGTAATGTGATAAAAATGCAGACGCGCCTTACAGCAGTAGGTTACAGTATGTTGTGTGCTAAAGTAATAGGGCTTTTGAAAATATCGTAACACCACAAGAGAACTATGAATCTGGATGACCACATTTCACGTATATGTAGAGAGTAATTTCTTGGCCAGCATACCGGGTACTTCCTTGTTCGGAATGTCGAGGTTATTCAGTGCATTAACGGCAACTTAAACACTTGTGGGTTCGTAGTTAAGGATTTGGTCCGGATCGCCATGACCCACCAGGATGGGCTATTCTTTCCTAGGGATGACCCTTCCCACCCCACCTCCTTGCCCTATCCCCTCTGGCTTTCGCGTTTAATGGGTAGACCATGGGAAGACTGCAGGTGGACATGAGCTACATGACAAGTATCTTTGCACAGCGTCGTTGTCGTGTGTATAGCCTATACTTGCCTATAAATGTATTAACGTGTCAAGGTATTGTTTGAATTTCGCTGCATGCAAGTATATGGTGCACTGAAACATAAAATACATGTAACTTGGTCACGGAAATGTTACTGACGAACAGAAAATTGACTTTGTGAACAATTAACATGCATGGTCAACGAACAGGTCAATATGTACACACTGTGGTTGTCAGATTCTTGTGTGAATCGTGTAGTTTATTAATTGAAAGTATGATTTCCTTGCCTAGCAAGTAGGATCCTGTAGGACCTGTACTTGTGGTCTTGTATGCCTTTGGCAATAACGGTGGGCTGTCTTCCTCACTTTGGATTGACTAGCATTTCCGGTTCAGTTGAACCGGGAGGTTTCATGGAGCTGGTGGTACGTTCTGTTTATTGAGCTGGCCCTGTGGCTTGTCAAACTACACCGGAAATGTGGAATTTTCTTTCGTGCTAAATTCACTGTAATAAATTGATAATTGCAGTTTGGAGGCAACTTGAGTCCAGCAGCGACGTTCTTGTCCAGTTATGGGTCGGTCCTTGCTCTGTATCTCTCTGTGCATCCTTCTGCCTCTCTTTGCTGGGGGTCACATGATATCTTATCGATCTGCCGACCGATCTTCATCCGTGCTGAACCAGCAGCCTGAGAAGGGACCCACCACGCCCAACATCAGTGATATTTTCATTGGAAGATGTTACGAGCACATAAGGTGTCTACAGCAGGACCAGTGCATTACAAATACATTAAGGTAAGTGTGAAGAATAGTAGTTGCATTTGGAGAATACTGGAGTACTCTTTTCTTTGGGTACCTACCCGACCCTAAAAAATGAAAAAAAAATCTCACAAACCCCAAACCACCTGCCTCTGGATCAAAGGCCGCTCAGGTCTCAAAAGGTGCTCAGTGTCTCAAGGGTCGCTTAAGGCAGGGTACCTACCCGACCCAGAGAACCTATCCCCAGAGACCCCCTCCACACTCGCTCCCCCCTCTTATGGGTGCTCAGGTCTAAACGGGTGCTCAGTGTCTCAAGGGTCGCTTAAGGCCATCCAGCTGCCTTGCAGGGTACCTGCCTGACCCAGAGAACCTATCCACAGAGACCCCCCTCCACACTCGCTCGCTCCCCCCTCTTACGCCCTCTCTCTCCAAAAAAAAAAATATTATCACACCTATATACAAACCACCAGACCAAACCGAGATGTCAGACCAAAAACCAATATTTGTAATTAATTGGGAACAATGTTTTAATTGTAACCACATTTCGATCATTTAACGTGACAGACGCTTGCAATTCTAGATATTGCACTAACTCTAATCATATCGATAGATGTGTCGAATGTAGAGAATGTAACCATTACAAATGTTGTGGGGAATGCAAAAGTTGCAAATATTGTAAAGACTTTTTTATTTGTGACAAATGCCACGGTTGCGTAGACTGTGAATATTGCGATGAATGTGTCGATTGTGTACATAGCGAAAAGTGTGTCGATTGTGGCCGTTGTGAAAAATGCACCGAATGTGAAAAATGTGTTCATTGTAAATATTGCATCGATTACAAAGATTTATATGAAGAATTGTTTGCAATTTGTAACAGTGAATTATGGTCTCTGTGAAAAGACGAGATTCAGAAAAAAAGATGACCCGGATCCCGAATCTGACTTAGACGAAAAAGCAGTTAAATTAGGTTTAATAATTGAATATGGCGAAGACCCAATCATAGAAGATATTTTGTAAGACTTGAAGGTTTTCACGGTGAAAGAACTGCACGAGTAAAGCTTCCCGGTTCTTCACAGAACCACACATAATCAAGAAAGAGATTGATCCATGGTGTAACCCCTATCGTTTTACTCATAAAGATTTTTGTGTTGATTAGATCATTTTGAATAAAACTCATTATAAAAAAATGAAAACCTATGTATAAATCGTAACCAAACCATGTCTAAACCCCAAACCTTTATCATCACCGACGACTACCAACGTCTCAACGACATCAATACTGACCCAAACATTACTTACGGTCTTTTTGATCCAGACAAACTTGCTATTAGTGAACACGCGTTGTTACGGCATTCAACCCATCTGCGAATTTGGAACTAAAAAAGAAACGGGTCAACATTAAATCGCGTTTGACACAACTAATAACATAGAAACCTTTTGGATCATATCAATCAAAAAGTTTACGGTTACATCGATGGTCACACCCACAAAAATAGCCTGTTACCTAAAACCACCGTCAATTCGTCTAAGAGTTCCAAAATCCTCCCAGTGGATGACAAAGACAAAATAAGTTATGTCATTAAACCCCCTTATAACGAACGACATCGTATGTTTGTCAAATATCAAAAACCGACCCAAATCGATTAGTTTACAAACAAACGGTGCAAAGAACAAACGGTGCAAAGTGAAAGCGTTGATGATATCGTACAAGATGCATTTTACGGATCTCACGGCATACTTTTGTGCGGCGCGAGCGTTAGATATCGAGTCAATGAAGCTCAACTAAAAACGAACAACGATTTAAAACTTTTATCAAGAAAAAGCAACTTCAGATGCGTTGGGTTTGAGTGGAAGTGAAAACGAGTGTGAAAGCGAGTGTGAAAGCGAGCGTGAAAGTAAGCGTGAAAGTGAGCGTGAAAGCGTGAAAGTGAGCGTGAGTGTGAGAGCGTGATATGAATATAAAAAAGTTTAAAACTAAAATTAATTAACCCCCACCTCAATTAAAGTGGGGGTTAATTTTTTAGAATGTCATTTCAGGTGCACTCGGGATCATTGTTTGGACCGGTTGCTCTCAGTATTTAGGAGGTGATTTTGTTTTTGCATGTTCATACCCCAGATACCATCCAGTTTCACGTTTAACAACGTTTACACTCCAGAACTTTTTTATGCGTTTTCTCCCAACGCAATCATAACTTTTTCCCCTCATCGAACATTTCTCGCGACAACGTTTTCGCAAGTTCCTCGATTATGGCTTGGGTCTCGGCTTTGGATTCTCTCGTTTGAGTAAGGCTGCATCCGAATCTCTTGTCTGGAGCTAGGTCTAGGTTTTCGCTCCATTGGAAATGCGTGGAGACGCGTAGACAATAGACCTAGCCGTAGCTCTGGAAACCTGTTTCGGACACGGTCTCAGTTTGGTATCTGTCTTATTGCGGCTCTCTTCTTTTAGTTCTTAAACTTGCTTAATTCACCGGTAATCAAAATAAGTTCTTCGTGAGAAATGTCCCCGTCGTTAATAGGTTGAGAAATATACTCACCGATCGTGTTTAACTTTGCGTCGCACAACACCCGAATCTGATCGTGTTTTGGTTTTGTGGAGTAACCGACGACTCGCATATTTCAACACTGCATATGCCTCAAACGCACCGATTGCGAGATCTTCCATCACCAGCCCATCGAGGCCGAGACCACCCTCATTAAAGCAGGGATACCTATAGCGGCTGAAGCGGCACCCAATGCCTCGACTCCGTATTCTACATAATTGAGCGCGGTGAGTAGCCGCTCTCGCAATGCGCTCTTGCAACAGTTCTTTTTTGATGTCTTTGATCTTTTTGAGTTTGTAGAGTTTTGTTTCTTGACACGGCCCTTTACTCGGTTCAAGCAGTTCACAATCTGGTAGCTCGGGAGTCGGGACAAAGCCTTAACATATTGGGGGTATTGAGGCTTTTCATTGCTTCTTTTTAATTCTCATTTCTTAATTATATGTCTCAAAACATTTTAGACTTGCGTTACAAATTCTAGCTCGGTCAAAATTTTACCACCCTTGTCATTAATAGTTTCTCCTTTATCGTTTCTTAACGAAAAATGGAAACTTGTTATTTATTTGGGTTTAAGCGGTTTTATCGTTTTGTTTATCGTTTTGTTTTTGGTCGGATCAATGACGGTACACAACATGTCTGAAGGTTGACCATTAAAATAATTAAAACTGGTGTTTTAATTCTCGACAGTGTATCCAAAGCTCGTCAAAAGGGTTTACGTTTATATTTCCTTTGTAAACAACGTTTGGAACTAACCGACCTTTTGCAAAATGAGCAACTTACCGACTTCTTTACCCAATCTCAATCTGAGATTTAAATCTATCACCATAATTGTAACTAAAGTGGAGTCTCGGTGAACTTTAAAGTTCACACTCGGCCTGGCGTTTAAAATAAATTCAAACCAATCAACGTGATGAAACCCCTATGGAATAACGATGCAACCGCGCTCTCCGGATTACAAAAAAAATTCCCGACGTTTCTCTCGTGTGTAGCCGTTGTATGATGTTGAGATTAAAACCCAAAACTAAAAGAGCATCTCTGGGTTCGGATTGAGCGCTTCTAATTGTTCTTGTTCTTTCGTCGGTATTGTCGGCTAAAAATCCTTCTCGAATAAATTCCAGTGTGATGCTGCGTTCTTCTTCAATAGTATCTTTTTTCTCGAGTTAAAATCATTAAATATTCATGTGCGTCCGATTGCTGCTAATAAATTCCTGCTAATTTTGCAAATTTGCTGTTTGTTCGTTGAGGTCATTTATTCTTTGGGTATGGTGGCGTTGAATTCTTCTAGATTTTCCGCCTCGTAATCTCTTATTATATCATAAAAGAAAACCAAACTGTCTGTTTCTTATGCTGATAACGTTACTGTAAGTTTTAAAAAATGTTTTTCTTCCGTTTAAAAAAAATCAGGCTAAAAATAATATGAGAGTTAATTTTTGTAACTTGTTTATTGTCGTGAACAAAGAAAGATTTGCCTGCTGTACCCCAGAAAAGCAAAGCGAACAAACTTGAGTGAAGTGAGCGGTCAGAAATTTTTCCAAACGCCTTAGTCCGATACCTATATTACCCGGGTGAACTAGAAGGTGGTACTGTCAGGAAAGCGATCGATCCGATTTGGAGCGTAGACGTGTACCAAATCGAAAAGCGAACAAGTCGATTTAAACGAGTCAACGGCAAAAAGGTGACAATGGGACCAACGCTGTACTACTTGCTCGACGGGCCAAAGCGTTCTTTTGTGTGAGAAGAGTTTCAAGTGGTACCCGAAGACACAGAGCTACCGCCGGCTCGGTAATGACCGTAGGCCAAAGTGTCCATGCCATTTGATAAAATGTATCTAAAGGAGACAGGCTTAATTTGTTTTGAACGGTGGTTTAAATCATGTTCTTTTGTGATCTTATGTGATGTTGTTTCGTATAGACGTGTTTGTGATCAAGCAACGTTTCTTCGTAAGCCCCGTGTCGCAGGTTTTTTTAGTACGATAACGACTTTGGCTACTCCTTTGGCCCTTTTTTTTATTTTACTGTCATTTTTTAGTAAGATCGAATACATTTTAGAGCGTAGACACACCACTTCCGAAACTAGTTTGCCGCCAAAGTCGTCTTTCATCTTTCCCATGACAGCCGGGTGGCCTTTTATTGTTAGGATCGTAAAGTGAGTGATCTGTTGGATAATTAGAAAAGTCAAAGAGGTCTCGTTTTTGATGAAGGTATCGGTTGACGTTATTTGTTTTGATCTAAACGAGTAAACTTTGGTGTCGCTGTATAGCACACAAACGTCTTTTCCAAAATCTGATTTTAGCGTGTTATTATTATGATGATTAATCAATTCAAGCAGATTCAAAATGTACAACAGGCAATATACATACAATAAAAATTATATCCAACAAATAATATAAAAAGAGGATCAATACAGATTGAAAAAGGAAACAATACAGATTGAAAAAGGAAACACACATGTAAACAGTCAATCAATATAAAAGACGTAAGAATAATCAAGCAAAAGACAGACAAGACAGACGTGCATAAGGAAAAACGAGGACTGTGCAGGAATGCCTTGGAGAAACACAAGAGTGAAAAATATCACTTTGGCCAAAAGAGCGTGCCACTCCAAGCCTGCACAATAATCAGTCAGACACACAAACTAAACAAAAACGGAAGGACATCACAACGACAAATCCCACCAACATGTTGTAGTAAAAATCATGTAATCGAGCACACTCACGCCACAATAAATCGGCTTATTAAACACGGTTTTAACGATGCACATTTCGACAAACGAGAGATCGTGTGTGAAGCGGGAAGGGGGAGAGAGTGAGAGAGAGCGCCGGTGAGGGAGGGGGAGGGTCTGTGGGGATAGGTTCTCTGGGTCGGGTAGGTACCCTACAAGGCAGCTGGGTGGCCTTGAGCGCCCTTTTGAGACCCTGAGCGCCCCTTGAAACCCTGAACGCCCTTTGGTCCAGAGGCAGATGGTTTGGGGTTTGCGAGAGTTTATTAATTATTTAGGGTCGGGTAGGTACCCGAGGAAAAAAGTGCTTCAGTATTCGCCAAATGCAACTACTAGAATGACTAAGGAAAGTCCCTCCCTGAGCGTCCATAGAATGAATGGCTGTGTGACACCAGCACAGAACAATTTTAAAAATTATTTAAAAAAATCGACAGCAAGTCTGCGATATGTATACATTTGCAGCAGCGATGCACTTAATGGAGAGGCTCAGTGCGCATTATGCAAGCGCATTATGCGATACTTTTTATTTGGTTTAGAATTATGAAAACACCTGGTGGGTTTATGTGACATAAGACGACCTGTAATAGGTCATTTTTAGTGACATTTTCCTACCATACAAAAGTGAAACCCAACTCTATTGTTCATGTAAATAGTCAGGGCTGGTAACGCACAGATATCCGGGAGTTTGTAATTTCAAACTAGGAAATTGTTCATGTCATTTGGCATGGTTTTCTATTCATCTGAGTGAAAGTATGGCCAACTGCTCACTAGTTGAGTTTAACTGTGTGGGAAACGTCTATAGAGAGTGGCCCGATTTCCACGGCTTATTTGCTATTCGCCGAACAGTACCCCTACACGTACGAACTTAATCGGATTCGCTGGTACCGGTAGCACTTTTGAGCATAAAGTATATGAAGTGACATGTACAGGGTGTCCATGTTGACACTAACATAAAAAGTGGACAGTTGCAAATAACATACGAATGCGAGGTATACATGAACGTTACGTGCACCAGTGCACTTGAACAAAGTATAAGCAAACTGCGGAGCGCTGATGATCGGTAATGTAAGGGGAAAGTAAGAAAAAACAGCGCTCACCGGTTTGCTAAGGTGCTGAATTTTCGGCCCCACTGGGCCTTCATCGGAGCCGTGGGGGACTGATGGGACTTGGGGACCAGTGCACTTTAACTTAAGTAGAAATTTGAAAAAAAATTGTGAAATAAGGCAACTGTATCAGTCTGCGTGTCAAAATTGTTCTTGAAATCTGAACCATTGTCAGTGGCGTGGCCGGGCTCTTCACGAGGGATGGGGGTGGGGAGAGGGCCAAAAGGGGCTAAGAGTTCCCACGCCCTCCCCAGGCTACGCCACTGACCACATTTTCAACTTTCAAGTTTGCAGAAACTCATTATGAATTTAACGTTTCAGTTTGTCGATTTAGTGCATGTCATGATTATACTTTTCGTGTAGAAAAAATGCCCATCTGTGTATTCAACAGTACAAGTGTATACATTTACGTCCACAAGTCACATGTGGAACAGTTGACGATATTTTCTCGTTATTAAAAGTTTGCAACGTAGCTACACAAGATCTAGAAAACGTAAACTCAGGTACTTTACACAATAAACACGATTATTTCGGACATTTCAGGGTTACAATTAACTCCTGCAGATGCAGTTAGATGAACGAAGGATTGAACAAATACGCGTAATATCTTTAGCTTATTGACACAAGCTAAATAGAGCAAAGAAGTAGATAAGCCACAATGGTAGCCTCCTAACCCGCAAACAATCAGTTTGACAGTGGGATCTTTTTCTGAGCACAACAATCGAGAATTAGAGGACAACAGCTTTCAGTTTTAGCAATTATGAAAGTACCTTTTCCATGAACCGCTACTGCTTATTTGCATAGATGCTTTGCAGGTTTCCTGTTGTAGGAGCAGACAGGAAGGTAAGGAACATCCTGTTCATTCGCACGTGAGAGCGTGAAGTTGAAGAATTCTCATGTAAAACGTGCTATGCACATATGGATCAAAGTCAGAACTCAAGGGCACAACCTGGATCTTTTTGCTCAAGAAACGTCCGTTTACTTTGGCCTTTCAACAAAAATGCAAGTCTGTTTTAATTGGTTTCTTGTCTTGTGATATTAATAAGTTAGCGTCTTGTTCCTGCTCTTTTCATACAGGGGCTCGTGTGATAACCTGTGGGTAACCTTTCGGGATGCATTTGCAAATAAGGATCCATGCCAGGCTGGTTACGGTGACTATGACGGCGTCATAACTGCGGCAATGCCCCACACAAATAGAAACAAGGTGATGTCACTTTCGTATCAAAGTTTGGTTGGAAAGAAGACTGTTCAGATATAGTGGTGGTGTTTCTGTATTTTCAAACGTTGATTTATACACATTTGTTAATTTTTCAACTGGTTTTCTTTCTAGACCTTGTTTTGGTCTGGTCTCAAGACTCTTGCCCTAGATAACGGAAGGGTAACCAGAAACCATACCATCCTAGAAGAAACACTTCCGGGGTATATCGCCAATGGATTGACCTGGTGTGGTCAAACAGGAGCTCCAGGAATTAATTACGACACCCCATGCCCTGCAAGTACTGAAAAGAACAATGAAACTATGTATACCTTCTGGAAGGCCGCTTCTAGAGCAGTAAGTTGTTTTTATTTCTATAAATGTCTTTTACATAGATCCTTATAATTTTTCTGTCGTTTCTGTCATAAATTGTGACCTTCCGTAATTGTAGGGTCAACCTCTGCCCATTTAAAAATAATGTTTTATGTAGTTCAGTAAAGAAACTAATGCAAGGTTTTTCTTTTGCTTTTCTTTTCTCTTACCAGTTTGCCAGGCAAGCAAGAGGAGTGGTTGCAGTGGCTTTAAATGGTAGCAGAGAGGACGCCTTCAGACACACAAGGTAGATTCCTGGGCAGAATAGAAAAAAAATCCCAAATAGCATTACATTGCATCGCCTTTTGCAGACAATAATTTCGACATCGTTTTCCTCTTTACCTGAAAAGGCGCATTCTTTGTGTGAAGGGAAGCGTAGCATGCAAATTGCGCGGTAATACATCACTTCTCATCGCCTGGTCTAAGTGTCACATGTGTCGAAGGAAATTAAGGCTGGATCCTTGTACTGGTTCATCGAGTGATTTTTTTCTCCCGCAGTACATTTGCAACGACCGAACTTCCAAATATCGAAAGTACAGCGGTGACACACGTAAATATACTTCTGGTTTACGATATCAGCATACCTGGTAATAACAGGAGGTAAGATAACAATAAAGTTTGCAAGAATCGCCAGTCGTGGTATATCCTGAAACTGGGGAACTCTGTGGTGAAAGAAAGATCATTACACGGAGCGTTTTTTTATATGAAAAACATGAACAAAATTTGTTCAAATGCTACTGAAGGAATATGGCATGGTCTCTTTAATCACCTTGTGTATTGTTTCCAGAGCTCGCTGTGACGAAGGGAGTATCAAAGATTTGCAGTCGATGCTTACTGATAAAGGCCTAAGTTACAACTGTGTTGAAGACCCACCGTAAGTGCTTGCAAAGTAAACGCCACGTAAAAGTACAGCAGTGGCACTTTTCAACGATCGGAAAAAACAAAGCCTCTGTATAGTCATATTTTGCCAGTACCACAACATGACTGAATTTGCCCCTTTTTTTCCACTTTCCACTTGTGTCTCTACCGGATGTAGCGATTTCAAGTACCTACAGTGTGCTAAAGATCCACGCAACGATCGATGTATTCAAGCCTGCAGTTCTGCGATGATACCGAATATCAACACGGCATTGATCGTTGCAGCCAGTCTGGTGTTTCACCTTGTGACTGGAGTTAGAGACTAGTCAAAGACTGAAAGGACCTATTTGCAATTAGTCCGTGTAGTATGTACTCTTATAAGTAATCTGTGCGATATAGACGCTATACTTTTTAACACTCCGACTCATACAGACGCCATTGGTGTTTGGTAGACAGGCGGTACGTCGTCTTTTACTATGCATAAATATCGTTGAGCTTTTATAATTATAGAAAGCTTGCTATTGGTATAAGATTAGTGGCTTCGCCATAGGTGCATCTCATTAGGCTCATGAGTTTGTAATTGCCTGGCTTTTGTATTTATTACATAAAAACTTAACTTGTTTTTACAGCACGATTGTGTATTTCAGTATAATATCGCAAAATTCATGTTTATGTATACTAAGGGGCAAATACAGTAATTAACAGAGTACAACATCGAGGAGAAAAAGAGAACAGAGTTGGAGATGCCATTGCTGACACCAGGCGCGCGATGCAAGATGGCATTGAGGATTGTTCCAACTTTGTGTAACCGTTTGTTGGCCTGTCAATAGAGTGCATACGCACGAGGACACCGGATGGGGGGTAGGTTAGGGAATGCTGTCTAAGTTCCAAAGAGGGAACATTCTCTCCTGGTTGAAGCAGACACCAGAGGATTTCGAGTGAAATTGCTTCTCTACAATAGATCGAGAGTTCATTCGAAATAGAGCCTGAAAGTCGACCCCTAATGACGCGCTTCCGGAACCTTTGGATAGGTAAATCTTTGCAAAGTTGTACAATCTCGTTTTCACGTAAGCACAGGTAGTGAAAACAAACGTACATGAACATGGAGACTTAGTACGATATCGCCGGGAGTGAAAGGTCGTTAAGAAAATTTGTTTTTTACCCATCTCCAGGTGATTCTTCCTAAATGTTACTTGAAGAAGACAAAGGTAAAATTCCAACATGAGTGTTTCATGGTATGGTTTCAGTTAGGAATTATTCTCCCAAAAATTATCGGACGTGATAGGACGGCGCAACGTAAAATCCCCATAAGAGGACCGCGGGAGGGTTTCGGGAGCTCGCTGCATGACCTTTTACTTTCAGGCTCTATTGAAACTATTTCACTTGATGTTTATGTAGTGCAGGAAATTCTTCGAAAGTCATCGGGATACAATACAAAATGTACGAACTAGTAGGATTGATGGGAAAATATTTGAAAGACGATACCGATATATTTCTTAATTCCGGGCTATTCACAATAGTGCGCCTCCAAGAGTTTGCAACGCGTTGGAAAGTCACAATGCGCGAAATCTGTCGACCCAATGGGCGTTTGGAAAGGGTTTCGCGCGTTGTGATTGGCCCGCGCGCTGCAAACTTTTGGAGGCTCGCTGTTGCGAATCGCCTGTATTATCGATAATGAAACTTCCTGGATTTATGGTTTCTTAGCGTAGTTTTCCGTTGTTGGGTAGAGTTAGCATGCGCACCATCGCTTATAGCATCGCCGAGAACTGTCGTTGCTTAAAATTAATAGTGCAGGCTACTTTTTATGAACTTGATTTCCAGCAACCCCATCAGAACGTGCACGCACGGTATCTCTCATATGAGAGGGTATCGTGGTCCATACCCTTTGGCCAACTCTGACTTCGTGAGCTTGCATTTCAGGAAAATCTTGACGAAACTGAAACTGTAGAGATGTTTTAAATGACAGCAGGCTTTGGACTAACTTGCCTTATAACTGGCTTAATTTCCAAGAAGCGTTCTTGAAGCTCAAGTACCTTTAGTCAAATTTCTTAGTCTGAATAAAACTTCAGCATGCGTAAGTGATTGACCATATTATATTAAGTCATTTCAGAATAGCAAAGTATCTGAGCGTGTGACGTTGCCTGAACGCTTTGTGTCAGGTGACTGACTTGACAGCTGTATATGGTTTCAAGAAGTTGTCATATACCAAGCCCTACTATATCGCAAAGGGAATTCATTTACCTTCAAACCACTCCAGCGTGTTCATGCGCAGTAGGTTACTAACTGAACGTTTTCATTTACAGATTCATTTTCAAACAGCAAACACAAGCCTCAAAGAAGAACGCCTTTAAGGTTATTCACAATGTCTGGTTGGTATCTTGGTTACTATGCACTGGTCTTCATGACTATTTCTGTGGCTGGAAACATTGTCAGTCATGGCTTAGGAGTGTAAATAACTCGCCTGATACCGAATCACTTTTTGGCTCTTGTAGCATTATAAATTTTGCCATGCTGGGTTGTCTTGGTTTCAAGACGTTAGTGCTTGAAAGCGGACACCGTGCATACTGCGCCCCCCTAATGACTCATAATTAGACTGTGCGCCAGTAAGAGTACGTAAAAACTAGTTGTGCGAGGGCGCTCTTCAACAGAAATAAAACAACCATCGATCACTGACGTCTTGGGCCAAGACTACATGCAGGGTGGCGTGTGCGACAGCGTAAAAACCAAATCCCACTGTTGGAATGCATGCGAGGCTCAACATACCTGCCTCTCTATGTAGACTACGACTTGCAGAATGGGACATGTGAATTACTTAACACCACTTATGACTCACGGTAACGTCAGAGAACGGTATGACTGGATTCTCTCCTACTCCATATAGCATGTAAGTAATTTTTGCACAAAACTTTGGAAATTTGGAGATTGGTTATTTCAGAATATAACTAACGAAAGGAAATAACAATGGCCGTAATTATTTTTTTGCAGAAAGCCAGTCAAGAAAGTTTTGTATTTGCTTAATTTTAGTGTGTGATATGCTTTATTATGATAGTTTGTTTTTCCCACACACTTAAAACTTGTCTTGCTCAACCTCAGACTAATAAATTGTTACTTCTGAATGTTATATATTCATCACTTATTTGATAATATTTACTTTATTTTTCTGTGCCCGTTCAGGTCAATAATGTCTCTTGACGACGGACTGAGCACGCAGTCCGAAACGTTGAGAATACTCCCGGTTCATTTCAGAACCACACATACTCATAAGAGATATATTCATTTGAATGGTGCTTCCGCAAGCCTTTCCACCTACTTCTGTCTTTCGCCATGAATAGCCTGAAATTTCATACTGTCAATGTATAATGGCAGTGACAGTCTTCAAACTGTGGATAACCGTTTGTGAGAGGAACTCACACAATAGACGATCATCAAATGTCTTTTCCTCTGCCAGGGTCTTGCGGGCTTGACTGCTAAGTAGTAAAAATCCACTTGAAAAAAAAATCTTTTTTTTTAGAAGAAATTTAGAAGAAATGTGAAATTTGTCGACTCTTTGCAGATGGGTAGGCGTAGTTTCAAAGCTCGATTACTCGATTACTTGCCGCGTGGGGATCAAGCTAACCTCAGTTTGTATAACCTGTAGCCTAACTGGACTGGAAAAAAATCAACCCTTTTGCCACGTCTAAATTCCTTTTGCCCTTCAATAATGCTTTAATTGTGGTTCAATAGATTGAAACTTCAACCTTCTCCAATTCTGCCATTGATACCCAAAGCCATATTCACAGGCTTGATTAAATTACATTAAATTGTAAGAAATCTGTGTCCGTACGTTTAAAGTGAAAAACCCAAAATCGTGATTCTTGTTTTAATGCCACAACATCAAAGAAAATCATTGTATAAAGTTTGAAAAAACAGCCATTTTTCTAACAATAGTATTAAGTGTTTCCAACAATTCTAATGGGTTTCTTTTAACATTTTTGCAGGAAGAAGATGGGCAGTGGGGAGCTATGGTTTACCAATGCCTGCGACTGGTTGCCCGACTGGTGTTGGTTTTACCTGGGAGACTGGTTTTCGCTTTCAGGACACGGAGAACAGGGGATCGAACAACGAACGGTCACCGAACATATATAATGATATACACTTGATGGCACATCAGCGCAATGATGTAACATAACACTTAGAAGTTCTGTGTGAAAACGGTGGAGCGTGCGAATACAATGATCTTATTGGCTGGCCTCCAGGCAAATACTGTGTGTTTAAGTACAGACCAACTGACTAACAGGTACCTAAAGATTTATCGTAACACCAAACACAGGCAAAACGTCAATACCATGTATTATTGTCTTCACCGTATTTCATTTTTTCTATTTCTAGGGGCCTATAAGTAAAACTGGAATCACATTTAACTAAGACATCGATAACTAGCCAAGCGCTTGCAGTATGGCACTGTTTTCGTGGAATTTTACATTGTATTTATTGTATTCATCACGTCATCATCTTGTAATTATAAGTGCATTAATTTCTCTGAAATAATCCATTTCCTTTCGTGTTCGTAGGTTTGTCAAACGGAACTATATTCTGGGATGACGAGAACACTGAGAGCAAATCATAACAGAGTAGATGGCACCGTTCCAATACAACCATAATACTGGTCAATACAACCATGATACTGTCATTCATTATTGTTGTATGACGACTGAGGACATCTACAAGCCCATCAATCTGCCAGCTGATCGTCCGTTTTATCTCTTTGCCTTCACTGACCAATGTCAGCCGGTACAAGGGATGGAAGACACCTTGGAATGGTTTAAGCGGGACAACGAAGATGGCAGTAACAGTAGAAACAACCTTGTTGGTCATCACCCTTACTACGAAACAGCCAGCGGAATAAATAATCATAAGCATTATTATTGTTACCGTGACCATTGACCCTTTGTAAGTGACGGAAAACCCAGATGGCAGGGATATTTTATCGCAAGTGTGTGGCCCCAAGGGAGGATCAAATTCATAATGTCCTTTGCAGTAAAAAAATTAACATGTAGAAATTTTTTTGGCTCTGGAAAAATACTAATAAAATTATTGCTTTTTGTGAAAGGTAAGTATCCTGTGTTCTGAGTTTAATTGTGGATTGTAGATATTAAAAAATACAATGCAGTTGTTAGTTTTCGGTTTACTTCATGTCAGATAATGAACAATTTGCGACTTTTTCTGATTAATTAAGAATTTTTCGAGTAGTTAAAATAAACAGTTCAATTTTCTGACTAATATATTGTACTTAAAATTTATCAAAACCCAAGTAACTGACATTTGTTACCTTTATCTGTTTTGAGGGTTGTCATTTACCATACCGACTGAATCACAGAAGCCTTGGGAATTTGAATGAGTTTCCAATTAGAAGCTCTCAATCAGTGATGCGTACGCGTGTAAATACGAACCGGATACATTGCGGAGGCGGGGTATGTACGTAGCATGCGTGCGTGACCTGTTCAGTGCAGAAACAAATAAAAACGGATACGTCCGTACCAACGATCGTACAGCGCCGAAGGCGATCTTTGGTCCGTACAGTAAGCACGTGATTACTATCTAACAGCATACATGTACATGTATATTCGTTTGCTCTGTCTTTGGGTCTACCGAATTTTTCCAACCCGTGGCTGGCCGCTTTTTCCTTTAGTATAGAGGCTTTGCGTGGTAGCCATCTTGTAGGGCAGCTCTTTTGTTCCACAGGGACACCGCCTTTGTACATACCCTATGGAACAAAAGTACTGTCCTGCAAGATGTCAGCCATTGCAAACCCTGTATTGCACACGTCTCCCATTCACATATACACACAGTGCTTCGACGGAAAGCATAATTATTGAGGGCGCTACGCATGACGTGAGAGCGCAACCTTTGACGCGTGACGACGGGGCGGGGAACGAATTGCGTTAAGTCTGTGTCTTTGATTTATGTGCACAGTGCTTGTCTGTACATGTACAGTACAATACACACGAACATTATGTCAGTATTTCAAGGTCAGTCATTGGCATTTCTGTAAGTCTTTTGCTGGTAAACAACTTACGTCATACATGTAAATAAGCGTGGTCCATTCAGCGTTATCTCTACCCATCAACCTCCATGAACCATGTGTTTTATTCCTCCATCGTTGTGGAACTGCTGCTCAGTCCTAGACCTGTAAACAAGGCCCGACGGATACACCTCCGTCGTATCAGTCCGTGCTGCAGTACGTATCTAAACTTGATCTGGCATTATATTCTGTGCATGTAGAGCAACAGGCTTGAAGTTGAACTTTGGTTTTGTGAGTTTGTCATCCGATGTTACCGTGCATGCATTGATAGTTCTTCAGCTGGTTTCGGTACTCAACATGGCAGGTGTCTTTTTGGATGAAACACTGCATCACCTGGGCAAGTATGGCCGGTATCAGGTTACATGTGCCTTGCTTATTATGACCATTGGTAACTGGTTCCCTGCATGGCATTTAATGGGAATTATCTTCACGGCAGACAGTCCAGACGATTACAGGTGCGCAACAGATCTTGAGGGGCCTGGCGAAAATGTAAATAGCTCAATCAGTAAGAATGGTGCCTGGGGGTCTACTGAACTACCTTATAAGCCGTGGTCTGGCAGTCAGGTGCATACACCGAGAAATGCTTCAGATGACAAATGCTTTGTGTACGGCACAGATGAACCATGCACAGATTGGCAGTATCGAACACAGTATGGTGAAACGACTCTGGTCACAGACGTAAGTTAGCTCTTTTATAGATATAACCTGAAATTGTAGCAATAGCCTGACAGTGATCAGGAGCTCTAAACCTCTTACTTCCTACTCATAGATCTATGCATGACGCCTGCTCCACTTATAGTGAATTAATTTTGGATTTTTGCCCTGCCCAATGTGTATTTATCACTGTATATTCAGTATATGCCACCAAAGGCTTGTGAGAAAACCACAGGCATACTCAGGTGGGACTCGAACCCACGACCTCCTGCTTACTAGTGCAGACGCCTTAGCTACTCGACCACTGAGCTTGCCGGTGTCGGCTGGCTGGTTCGAATCAGATTTAGCAGCGGGTACCGTGAACAACTATTTCAAAGATGGATTTGCGCCGGGGAGATATAAATTAATTTTGGACTTTTGCCTTGCCTGATAGTAGTTGGGATGGTTTGAAGTTATAGCTAGAGGTAAGATTAGACAAGACAGCTGCTGAGCTGTTCCAGACTAAAGTAAATTCATAAACTCCCTAGGGTGTATGTAAAATCATATTGAAATCAGAGGAATTGGGACTGTTAGTGTTAAGAATGTGAAGAATGTAGGGGTTGGCTTTGGCCATTTTAGGATATACATGACCTGAATTAGTTCACTCTAACTTCCTTGTGACCAGCTGTTTATAAGAAAAAATGCAATATTCTAATTATTTTCTTTTTAACCTTTGCAGTTGGACCTCGTGTGTGACCGTAGTCTCTTGTCTGAGACTGCTCAATCTGTCTACCTGGTAGGCATGCTGGTTGGCTCTGTACTTCTCGGTTTTCTATCAGATACATTCGGGCGGAAGATAGTTTTGTTGCTTGCCTGTGTTGCCCATGGAGTTTGGGGCGTAATAGCTGTGTTTGTCTGGAATTATCCCGCATTTGTCACATTGTGGTTTCTTATTGGCTTATTCTCCCAGGTTTGTATTATTTTTGATGATTTGATGGTAAAGCATTAAGTCCCATTTATGTGTTGTACATCCTGTGGGCCCTCGCTGTACGTGAGTGTGTCCTCAGGCAACCTAACTTGGTTTTAAATAAAATTCTCTGATTCCTTAGCTGCATCAGATTTCTTACAAAGTCTGATATTTTAATTCTAGACAGAAATATGGTACTGGTATCAGAAAGACTTTTTTTTTGGTTGCTAGGGCTACAATCAGGTGCAGTTTGTGATCATCATGGAGATGTTTCCCCCTGAGTGTCGCACTCTCATGGGGAGTCTCAATAACATGTTCTGGGGTCTAGGGGTTATCACACTGACGCCTATTGCTTACCTATTGAAGAACTGGCGTCACATGCAATTGGCGATATCGATACCATGCTTTATGGCTATCCCACTCTGGTTGTAAGTATCTCTTTGTATTGTTGTTTCTTCCCATTAATCTTATCCTTCAGCTGTAGACTACTGACTTCCTTTGACACAGATTAAAAGGACATTCCTGTTTTTTATTGGAGAGACCCTGAGCTGCAGTCCAAAATGTTTCACCCAATTGAAGAAAAATATCCCTCACGCTTTTCAAGTCACACCCATGTTTCCTTTAGATTTTTTAAATGTATAAATGTGAAAACGAATTCTTCAATTGATCCTTGTGAAAGAGCATGTAACTTAAAAAAGCAGGGTAAAAGAATATGGGCGATTCCCCAGTGGCTCATTTTTAGAAATGTGACTAACAAGTTGCAGCTTATTCACGTATTCAATGAATTGTTTCGTAAAACAGTGTCCTGGATGATTCTGTAAGGTGGTTAGTAGCAAAGGGACGTCTTGATGAAGCCTTTCAGATACTGAACAAGATGGCAAGGTGGAATAGAACAGCGCCCCCTCCTGGCGGATTTGTGTTAAGCCAAGAGGCTGATGAGCAAGTTGTTCTTGACAAAGAAAAGAACGGTGAGACTTCAGAGATGACTTCCCAACGTGATGAGGCAGAGGAGAAGAAACTGTGTACTTACCTTGACATCCTTAAGAGCTGGAAACTGTTACTAAATACTGCCATCATCTATTTCTGTTGGTAAGTATTATGCTGATGTTAAATATCAACATTAGGGAAAAGTAAAGTATTAAATTAATAAAATGTAAATATATAATTGAATTAATTATTTAGAATATTAAAGCATTTTTTATTAAATAGGATTTGAAGATGTGCATTATGGTCGTACACAAAGCAAGTGGTTTTCAGTAAACACCATGTGAAGAATATCCATTTTACCAAAATATATGTTATCAGTTTCGTGAAATCTTTTCAAGGTTGAGATATGCTTTTAACTTCTGATGTTAATTGTTTTCATTTTTGTATTTTATTTCAGGTTTGTGAGTATGATGACATATTATGGAGCCTCATTAAATAGCGCCCACCTTGCTGGTAATAAGTATGCTAACTTCTTCTTCCTAGGATTGGCTGAGATTCCAGCATTCTTTATCATTCACTTTACCATGACTTGGTAAGTCTCCCTTCTTATCATTGTCTGTCTTGAGGTAACTCCCTTGTATGATTCCTCTTGTATTCCATTGTTCTGAAGCCTACTGCTTGGCTTACTGTCAACTGCTGGATAAGATGACATAGATTGCATGCACTGATTTTCTTTTGCTGAACCTTAGTCAAAGCCTTTGTCTCAAGCCTGTTTTAGGCTTCGTTGTCTAACTCTCTTTCCTGTAACCAATTCAGGTGGGGTCGGCGCCCTTCTATGGGGTTATTTTTCCTCCTTTCTGGATTGGCAAGCATCACCACTGCATTTCTGCCAAAACAAACAGGTAAGATAAAATACTTTTATAGCAAAAATTTGGATTTTAGTACAGAATTTAATTATTTTCATTTAATAAACAGTTGCCTAATTGCTGAATACAGCATGCTGAATATCTTTGAGTTAGTTTTCTGACCCTCATTGCTTTATCTTCAGAAGATGGAGCTGATTTGACTGCTGCCATTGTTGTCATGGCGATCCTTGCAAAACTCTGCATTACGTGTGCCTTCTCCATCAATTTAATATTTTGCTCTGAAGTCTTCCCAACGCCAGTCAGGTGAGTAAGGTCCAGGTTTAGAGGGACAAATACATGTTCCCTGACATACTTATGCATACTCTGTTGCAGATATCATTGGCAGATGTATAAATGACAACTGGAAACATTTTGGTTCACAAATAGCCCACTAAACGTTGGTTATATTATTAAAGTCTTTCATGGCGGCCAACAACCTCGAGCTTCCATAATTTCTTGACTAGTCCCTTTCAGACTAGTTATCCATTGCTCCATGATTTTCTCATCTGGTTACATGATGCTTCTGTTTCCTTTTGCTTGTATCATTCAATACAGGAATATTGGGTTTGGAATTGGAGCAGTTGTTGCCAACCTAGGCACAGTCATCGCTCCCTTCGTGCTTTATTTGGTGAGTGATACATGTAGTTCTTTTTATTCACTTTTTCTCTTACCCTAACCCCCAGCCCTAAGTTTCCTGCTCGGAGCCAGAATCCGCCCAAATTCTTCGATTCTGGACTACAAAAGCTACCCTTACTCCTTTGCTGGCACTATGAATAAACAAAACTCATTGAGCGCACCACTGTGGAAAGTTCCCTGTCGGTCCAGCAGCTGTGGCATGCTGACACCAGTGGGTCACTTGCCCTTATGGCTCATGTTTTGGCTTGCACAGGGCCACTAAAAAAAATCACCGTGAACACCACAGATAAAGAGGCGGTTTCAGGTCACCATATGCCCTGCTTGATTGAGTGAGCTACAGAGCCCTGGTGAATATCAGGGGCATACATGTAAGTGGTTTACCACACACAAACAAGGTTTTCAGAGCCCTTAGGAAGTACACATACAATAAATGTACCAAAATCTAGTCTGTACCAAAAACTACCAAAATCTAAATCCCAGTAACCAAATTCCTCCCAAATCCTCATGTGGTACGCTGAGCCTGAGAGCCAGATTCCTCCATATTCCTCTAAGAGTCAAAACTCCATGTAACCAAATTCCTGCCAAATCCTCCAATGGTTCAACTGCCAAGTAACCAGAATCCTCCGAATTCCTTTCCTTTGCAGGAAAGGATTTTGGATGATTCTGGCAGGTTATGGTTAATAGAAAGTCGTGGCCAATCTTTGATTGTCAGAAACTTATGGCATGTATGGAAAGCTAAACCAATACCCCACATCTTAGGACAGATTATTCAACAAATATAAAAGTCATTCTATCCCTAGAGTCCTGGAGCAAATACTTTCCTTTCACAGTTAACCCTAACCCACTAGGGCCTTTTCACAAGGGCACATCCCCAATCCTCCAAAATTCTCCAATTGCCCACCTTCAAAAACAGCAGTCATCCTCAGTCTTCCGAAATCCTCCATGCTTCAATCATCATTCATCCTCTATCCTCTAAAATCCTCCAAAACAACCCGGAGGATTGAGGTGGGTTAGGGTTAATGGATGGTTTTGGTTCACCTTTTGTTTCTTGCTCGTTAGGGTGACTTTGCCTCCTTTATCCCCCTGACGATCTTTGGAGGTATGAGCATCACTGCGTCCCTTCTTGTTCCAATCTTACCTGAGACAAAGGACAAGCCCCTCCCTGAAACAATCAAAGATGCCAAAAATCTGGGTAGAGGAAGGCATCTAAGGAGGACCCATGTGCCAGATCAAGGGGACAAGAAGGGTGACTATAGGCAGACAGACTTCTCTGAGGAAGAGGAAGCAGTGTAAGGAGAAGTTTGATAGAGTAAGGTTAATGATAAAACCCTCTCTTTGTACTCTGTATTGCTAATATAGTGGTGTATTAATGCATTGGGTTCAGTCAAAGCTTAGCACAAAGAGAGAATTTTTGGTGCTAATTGTTGTTTATAAATTTTTAACATTGGCTATTTTTGTACCGCCAACTCTGCATTTTTTAAATTGTAATTAGCTTTGTCTTTCTGAAGAGACGAAATTCTGTCGTTAAAAGTCTTCTTGAATAAAGCATTCTTGTTGGTTCCACAGGAAGGTTTTTGGCATAACGACAAAAGGCATAATTAATTTGATGACAATGAGAATGTAAGATCAATGCTTTGTAAAGAGTATATTTTCAACTGTGTAACTGTTCTGAACAAGGAATGGGCATTCACACTGTTGACTTCTGAACAGTTTCTCACCTACATTTCAAAACATGTTCATGGAAAAAAATCTGCATTTATTTGTTTTGTAATTTTTGTTATAACAATTGTAGAAATGTATAATTGAAAAAGACGTTGGTAAGGCACGTACAGATATACATGTACATGTATATCACAAAGAAAGAGGGAAACATTCCTCGAATGTGCTACTGTCTGGCAGCTGAAAGTGAATTGACTATTCGAATGTAGCTTAACATTTGGAGATTTTGTTGTATGAACAAGTTAATAACATTTGCTTGCTGCCTGGCAAAAGGTCCATTTAGGTCATCTTTTGCATTTGCACGTCACGCATGAGAAGAATTGCGCAGATGAACCATCTACTAAGCACAGGATGAATTATTGTAATATTTTACTGTTACACATGTGGTTTTGTATTTAGTGGAAAATTATATTCCTTTTTTTTAAGGAAAACTATATTCCTATGATATGTTAACTTTTCCTGGTAAGAAATTATTTAATTTGTGATTAAATATGATACTGCAATATGCTTGCAACTATAATGACCATAAACATTTCTAACTAAAAATGGGCTTTTGTTTCCATTTTTTTCTAGAAGTCTGGCTCGATCTTTCTGGAAAAACTTGCAAGGAACTAACGTTACCCCCCCCCAAAAAAAACCACACTCGTGCCAATACTTTTTTGATTAACAGTATCAGGGGTGTGAGAATTTAGCTTTTTAGCTGATTGCAGCTTTTTTATTTAGATGTTGACCCTCAATTTCAGCTTTTTTGTGCACCTGCTGTGTACAAACGTATGGGGACTTCCTTACATCTCAGCTTGTTGCCGTTTTCAGCGTTGAATTTAAGTGGCCACTCACACCCCTGCAGTCAGAAAGAGGAACACGAACATCAAGACAGCTATGCACACCACGAATTTGAAGGAAGTTGTTGAAAATTCAGAGTAATTGAAACATTCTTTCCCCCTTCAGAATTGATAGGGGTAATTCCAGAAATTAGGGGTCCAAAAGTGGGACATTTTCGTGTCCCTGTAAGATCTGACCTTTGTTATGTGACATGGAAATGTCAACGGAATTGATTTCAAACTATTTCTATTTGTCTCGCAGGTACTTTGTATTAATTCATCACTCCCGGGAATTAGAAAATGTGTTCTGAACTTACAAAAATCCTGTGTCAGATGTGACAGGGACAGGAAAAAATGGACCCTTAATTTCTGGAATTACCCATATAAGTGAGCGAAGTAGCGGACCAGTTGTAATTTGTCTTTCAATCACTGGCTTCATTTTCATATTGGCATTTTGAGGTCAATTTATTGGTGACAGGTGCAGTAGAGATAGGGAAGCATCTAGAAGTTTTTATTATTAACCCGAAAGAATAATTACTTATGCCGAACCCACCAACGCTATTATTCCTTTGAACAAATTGCTTCCGATTAAACATGCGCAAATACGTGGGCAGACTCCATTAAAAGCGTCGATGTAAAATTATGCAGCAGCAGCCGATACGCCCCAGGTATTTTAGTAAAAACGGCCATTTGACCCGAAACGAGCGCAGGTCTGACTGGCAGGTTAGTCAGCAACACAGAGTTTGAGGGTAAATATGGCAGCATCCCGTCTAGATGATGTTCTCCAGTACATCGGCAAGTATGGCAGGTATCAGATGATAATGAGTGTTGTCATCACTATCCTCGGTACATGGCTTCCTGCTTGGCATATGATGGGATTGATATTTCTGGCAGACCGACCTCAGTCTCGCCACTGCCTGCGCTGGAGCACTAACCTCGGAGCGCTGATTGCCGGGAGGAATGGAAAATCTGCCGGCGATGTTGATTACTCAGATTGGATGAAACAAAATAATCATTCACTGGAACGATCAAACGTTACGGACTTCGGGGGTGATGATAAGCCATCCAACATTTCTGATTTCGAATGTACGACGGATGCTGATGCATTTGCTGCCGTGAGCAAGTCATGCATGGAGTGGGAATATCATACATTGTACAATGAATCCACCATTGTCACCGATGTAAGTACATGTACATGTATTGGCCTCTGACATGTGAACGACAACTTCCTCCCGATGATGCTGAAGGTTTTGTCTTGTCCGTGGTCATTTCGACTTGCAGGGGGTAATGTGCAAAGAGGGACTTTGTTTCAAGGTTTAACTTTTTCCAAGTTATATCAGACAATAGGCGTCATTAAGTTTTGTCATGGCCGTATTTCATACATAACATCATTGCAAATTAAGGGTACTGTGTAAAAGGGCACCCGTGGAAAGGGCAGATACGAAGGAAAGGGTACACCTGTTACAAATGGGAGATGGTAAATGCCCTAATTCCCCCATGGCTGTGAAATTGGCGAGAATTTGCGATCCACTGAGTTATTCAAAAGATACCGATATAATAGGTCCTCAGATGTCTTTCTGACCCATCGCTGTGCTATCTCCTACTTGTGTGTCACAGTGTCTCAGGATACAAATGACCAGGTTATTTCAATCAGAATGTAAAGCTAGAAAATTTAAACCGACGTGTGGAGTTGAAGAGGTGATCGAAAAACAAAAACAGAAACAGTAATACACATGTAGAGTGGCTCGCATGTTTTCAGATGCTCTCGTCAGACTTACCTGGAAACATTTCGTTTTGTGAATTATGCCAAGATGCTTACATCACGTTTGTAGTGAAAATTCTGTAATCTCTGTTTTTTCAGTTTGATGAATACATTCTCCATACTTTTCTTTTTCTTTCGTCCTTTTAAGATCATGTCCTGTTGCCTCTATTCTTCAGCATTTAACCACAATTTTGTAATGTTTATCTTTCAGAGGCTTAACATTTACACGTCTGGTTCCTGGTGTTAAATTGCTAAACGCTATCCATCATTGCAAGGAATTTTACAGTTGGACAATGTTGTACAATTTACAAACAAATCACGAGTTTTTTTTATTCATTTCTGTGCAGTTTGATCTTGTCTGTAACCGGAAAATATTGGCTGAGACTGCGCAATCCATTTTCCTCGTCGGCATGCTTGTGGGTTCGGTAGTTTTCGGCTATATTTCGGACGTCTTCGGCAGGAAGATTGTTCTCTTAGGCGCTTGCCTAGCTAATGGTGTGTTTGGAATTGTGGTATCTTTCGTCTGGACCTATCCAGGTGTTGTTATATTGTGGTTTCTGGTCGGTCTCTTTTCACAGGTATGTAGAACTAACAATTATACTTTCAGACTAGTGGGTTATTTCTTTTAAAGCAGTGGGTGGAAGATTTCTGAGGATGGTTATTTCGTCGCCTCTGGCACCAGTGCAATAGTGGTAAAGGGTATTGCGATTTTAAAATCTTTTGTCCAATATTTCATTTAAACTTTTACCAAATATCATTTTCAATGAATCTTCTTTTCATCAGTCTGAAATGCTGAACAAAGCTATAGACTCGATCTCTTCTTCTTTGCATTTAGTCTTGTTTTGTTGTCTTCTTTCAGGGCTACAACCAAGTTCAGTTCGTCATGATAATGGAGATGTTTCCGGCGCCTTGTCGAACCTTAGCAGGAAGCCTCAACGCTTTGTTCTGGGGTTTAGGTTCAGCAGCACTGGCACCTATCGCGTATGCCTTACGCCAATGGCGACATCTACAGTTGGCCATTTCTGTACCATGCCTGCTGGCGGCGCCGTTGTGGTTGTATGTGATCTTGTTGATTTCACTTGAAAGCCACCACTGAGTGAACTATGCTTTGAAAATTATATAGCCCACCCACAACTTGCTTTCCTAAACAATGTACATGTATCAATATGTGCGATAAATGCAAAGAGGAATAATGCTCAAGTTCTAATTCTTACCGATTCAGTTAACGAGCATGTGGGATATGATAAACCGTAATGAAAATTTAAAATTATGACAAGGCCTGGGTTTCTTCTGGTCCTCGACCATCGTGACGGTAAGTAATACTATGAACAATGAGGCATCATGACTTTTGATAAAGCTTAAATTTTTGGTCTAACGCTGATTTTGAAGGTGTAAAATAAGTTTACCGCAAAATAAGAGCAATCCCTTCCTTACAACAGAATATTGGATGAATCTGTGCGTTGGCTACTTTCCAACGACCGACTTGGTGATGCGCAAAGGACTGTTGAAAAGATGGCACGTTGGAATGGTGTAGCGCCCCCTTTTGGTGGCTTCGTTTTAATTAATGACATCGAAGAAGTATCGCCGCTTGGCGAGGGTAACAGCGACAAGATTGATCAAATGATACCACAGCTGAGTCAAAAGAAATGCACAATATGCGATGTCTTTAAAAACCGAAGGGTCATGTTAAATGTCTGCATTGTCTTTTTCTTCTGGTAAGTATGAATTAAATGCTTACTGTTTTTCTGTTAGAATGCATTATTTTCACTACAAATACATTTTTCAATTTTAATATGAGAATTGTATTTTTTCTGCCATAGGTTCGTTAGTTTACTGACTTACTACGGAGGTTCACTAAACAGCTCACATATTGCTGGAAACAAATATGCAAATTTCCTGTTCCTTGCTTTATCAGAAATTCCAGGCTATATCATCATTCACTTCACCATGAATAGGTAGGTTTGCCATCTCTTATTTTGTCACTGATTTGTATGATACCTGCGCGTGAACGTTTATCAAGAAAACGTATTTTTGACGAAATTTTAAGTATGGTCTTCAACACTCAATTGACTTCGACTTATTAATATTAAAAAGGGAGCTAAGTCACACTTTATTTTAGCGTGGGTAAAGTAAGCATAGCGCTTGTAATGTGGGGGCAGAAAACGTGTAAATACATGTATATGGAGACTTTACTTTTCTATAATTTTTTAAAGGGTAGCTGTAATCATTTTTTTATTACAAACCCGTAAAATGCACCTTTGTGCCTCAGTAAACCTTATTTTCAACATTGGTTTCCCCATTTCCAAGGGTATTTTAATGCCTTTTTTGTTTTATGCTAATGAACATTTCTATATTCATGAGCAAAACTGTGATGTCATCTCAGGAAGAAGCCTCAATGTCACGTTGGTTTATACACAAAAAGCCCTGCGTTTTTGTAAATTTTACTGGACTACGTTTTCTCATTTTTGCTGGTTCATTGTTTACGTGCATAGCAGTAAGAAACCATCAATCCATCTCTCAGAAATGTTATTTAGTAGGTAAATTCTGGGTTCGCAATTTAATCAGAAGTACCTGTGCACTGAACCATATCTTCCCTTGATGACTTCATAGATACAACGCCCTCAGTTTTCTGGGAAAACATGGATAATTTTGATTGTTTAAAAGTGACCACTTTTCAACGCATTTAACCAAATAGGAGTGTGTAAGAGTTTTCATACTTTGAAGAAAAGTACAAAGATGCAAAAAATTGTGTCGAAGAAAAATTCATTGCAGGTACACTTTAAGATGCATTTGTCAACCTTGACCTTTCGTTTAGGTGGGGTCGCCGCAAATCTTTGGGACTCTTTTTTCTTCTTTCTGGAGTAGCTAGTATAACAACGGCATGTCTGCCAAATCGGACAGGTTAGTGCATTATTTGCCTGCAAAAGTTAGCATAATCAATTTAATTTTTAACTGATCGTTTGAATGACTGATTTTTGTATCTATTCCCCGTAGTTGATGGCACTGATTTAAGTACAGTTATCATCGTGGCAGCCATGTTGGTTAAACTCTTCATTGTCTGTGCATATTCCATCAATATAATTTGCTGCACGGAGATTTTGCCCACATCTGTCAGGTAAGTTTATCTGTAGGGCCTACTAAGTGTTTGCCTGAACTCTTCACAGAAATTATTTTTTGTTGAGCTAAGATAAATTCGAATCTAAATTTGCTCTTACTAATATCAATAAGCTTGTAAGTTTATTAAGATATGGGAACCAGGTAGATGTATTTTTTTTTACAAAGTATATGATTTCCGTGTCAGGTGTAAATTAATTTGACTCATTTGATTTTTTTGTTTCTGTTTGGTTTGTTTAATTTTGTTTGTTTTTTCATCTTAGGAATATTGGGTTTGGGGTAGGAGCTGTCTGTGGAAGTGTCGGTTTGACAGTAGCACCATTCATCATTTACTTGGTGAGTTTAACTTCAAGTTAAACCTTTCAAAATTAGACGACGAATTTGGCCTTTCTTGGTGATAGAATTTCCACCGGTAACCTAAACATGGGCCGATTAAATCTCTGTATTGAAAATTCCTTTCATCTTTTTCTTCTTGCAGGATGAGTTTGTATCTTTCCTTCCACTCAGTATTTTTGGAGTCCTGTGTGTTATTTCAGCCATGTTGGTCCCCATTCTTCCTGAAACGAGAAACAAGCCTCTTCCAGAGTCGATAGAAGATGCAGAAAATATCGGCAAGAAACTGCCGAAAACAACTGATATACATGGAGAATATGTTCTAACTGAAACTGTGAATGGTCCCATCGAAGACGATGCAATGTAATATTTACCGTTTTCAATAAAAGTGAAACAACTACTGAAATTGCTGAGCCTAATGGCTAATAGTGGGGAAGTTTTGATTCTGTCCAAGAAAATTAAGTGGACGTAAAATCAAAATGACAGTAGGTTTCAGAAAGCTTTTGTTTCAGTTTAATTTCAGTCTATTATCACGTAATACGTGATATTAGATATAAATAAACAGGGAAGAAACTTTGAAGCACATGCTACTATGTATATTTATGCTTATTAGTTGATGGGAACTATAAGACTATAACAATTCCTCAGGAAACATACATTTTCTAAAATAATAGAATAAAGATCCTTTCATTTGGTATTTCATTGATAGAAATGTCATTGATGGGCGTTTATATATTTACCTTAAATTCCCCCCTCCCCTGCAAAACATTCGGAAGGGTTTGCAATGCAATGGTTAGTCTTGTAGTAAGGATATCTTTTCAGTGGGTCCCTCCTATGAAAAAAAGGTTGCCTGGGGTTTGCCTCACAATTTGGAAATTGTTTCAAACATGAAAATTTATTGGTAAAAATTTCCCCCGTAATGGATAACCTTACATTATTTAGGCCCCTTTTGAGTTAAAGCTATGTAGCTTAAAAAAAAAAACCAAAAAAATTTCCGACAGAATGGTAAGGAATGAATTATCCTATATTTGATAAAATACAGGATTTAAGACAAGAAATAAATGGATGATTCTTTTGGATAAAATTGACACGTCACTCCAAAATATAAAACATTCAAATAATGATTCAATAATGTCTTTTATAACACGTGTTGTATAAACATTCCTTATACAAGGAAAAATTGTGACGATTATTAATTTTTCGAGGGTAGCGTTTGACATTTCCGATTTCCATTTTCATTCATTACTGAATTGTTATATTTGTGTGGAGAAATTTTTTTAAATACTGCCATTTAAATTCGCTCTCACTCTGCATAAATTACAAACTTTTTTTTCTTCACTTATAGTTCCATGGAAAGCTTAGTGACAGGAATAGCAGCAATATTTGCATTTCACTTACCCCGTATAAAACTTGATCGCACTTTTGATATATAAACACCGACCAAACTCAGTTACTGTAATGAATGCATACATGAACACAACTAGTAGGCCTATATACGATTATACTCCTGACAACTTATAGGATGAGTAAACACATCCAAACATGACAGTACATGTAATGCTATTTTACGTATTTCTGCGTGCGTAAAATGTTTTAAAAATCTTATATACACTTAAAAGCAAAGAATACAGGGGGTGAAATTGAACCGATTGTGACACGTTACTGACATTTCAGCAGGTGTACGCCAGTTCTCCTGATCATTTTCTTCTGTGTTAACGAAAAAATGGCGAAAGAAATCTGTTAAATATTCTGTGGGCTCCACGTTGACTGAAAAGCCACTTAAAAAGGAGAAAAAGTTTCACACTGTCATAATCGCGATTTTTACCATTGGTTATATATGATAATAAATGAGGTGATTTTCTAACACACCTAAATGATTCGCGTAATTATCCAAATTCGTCCAGTATATATTGACGGAAATACCACGCCTAATTAAAAACATAACATACTAAAAAGTTCTGAAGTTTTTTCACACATAAGTCGTTTAGCGGTATATCTGCAACTCGAGCAATATAAAGATCTCTTTTCAAGTCTTGGAAGTATATTTCGGAAACGAAACGAAACAGTGCCCAATGACGGTCCGTTTTCACGTCTTGCATTGAGTAATGTCAATGCACTCCTTTGTCCCCCAGCCCCACTGTCTAAATCCTCCCCAAGGCTCACCCAACCCATTTCTTCGACAAACACAATAGCTTAGCCCAACTCCAAGTCGTTTTAACGGTTTCGTTACATCAGACTATCCCAATTCTATACTTCTATGATCAGCAATCGTAAGACTGAATGTTACATCACATTCCTAGCTAGGCTCCATATTTGCTATCTCTCACAGCCAATCATTTTCGTCCTGCATAGCAACATTCACCATCCCATTGTTAGGAGGGCCAGTGGTCTCCCCATGCACTGATGTTACATCTTTGCTTGCACTGCCTCGGTTGCTGGGTGATGTCATTCGACCTAGACTCTCTGCTTCCTCGATAGTCTCGGGGAGTGGTTTATTTCTTGTCTCCGGTAGAACGAGAACCAGTCCTGCAGCTAGAAGACTTAGACCTCCAAAGATGTTCAGAGGGATGAAGTGAGACACTTTGTCCTGAAATACATCAGTAAAGTAAAAGGATTGCAATTTTGCTTCGGTACGTTGCTCAAAGTCAAGGGCATTGATACCACTGCATATAACCGACGCACACAAGGTCGATTCATGGGAAATTCCTGGACAAAAGGCGCTGGATAAACTTGGAGTAGTTGTTCTGGAATATTTTAATACTCGCGAGCAGGCAAGTTTTGCTACTTACAAGGTACACAACAAACGGTGCAACAATGCTTCCAACTCGTCCACAGAACGACGACATGCCAAAACCGATATTCCTGACAGGGAAAAGATCCAAAACGTAATTGGCGTTCGATTTATCCTTGTTATGCAACTTTTTGAAGATGATTTTGATTGAGGAAATAATGTGAACACTGAAACTTACGAGAACCCCCTTGGATCCCCATTATAGTTTCACTTTGTTTTTAATTCATTATCAAGTGTTTCTTTCTGGATTTTTTGAAATCATTTGATATTATAAGGGAATAAAAGTAATACTCGAACCGCAAGCGAAGTCGTTATGAGGTTGTCAGCGTTATCAGGTCATTATCAAACGACCCACAAAGTACATGCTTATTCCCATTCATAAATACCATTTTAGTCGGAGAGTCAAAAGAACCCAATATACGATAAATTTCCATCGACTTTGTACAAGAATTTTACTTTCATTTCCCGAACACCCCCGTCCATTTTATGGTACATTCCTTGTGCAAAAATCTCCTTATACGGACTTGGCTTGTGCTTGGTGGGTTCTGCGTGCCGCGCCGTGGCGCACACAGACTCTTGACCAATAGGAATGAATTGTTTCCAGGTGCAAGCGCATTTTTCGCAGCGGGCATTATCAAAATGTTAATACACAGTCAAGTTGGACGTTGTTGAATAGGGAAACTGTCGAAAGGTATTTAGGAATCACTAATGAATGACTGATGAATTCTGCACCTGACTGGTGTTGGAAATATCTCTGTGCTGTAGAGGAAAGCCACGCCGAAACTACACGTAATGCAGAATTTGCCAAACACTGCCATAACCACGATTGGAATCTCATAGTCTGCTGCGTCTTCTAACACATAACAAGAGATAAAAGGTAGCAGGATTATGAGGTGGGTGCTGACATGAATGCAAAGTAGAAAATGCCAACTTCGACATTTTTTATTCCAGTGAATAACTTGCGCGTTGTTGTGAGAGCATTTCTTTTAAAACATCTGGAATGTGCGGTTATTTTTAGTACACATTATGCTAACCAAATTCATGTAATCCAACCCAACAGATGTATTTTTCTGAATTTAATTTGATTCATTTTGGCTACCCATGAATATTTAAGGTTGACGCACCTGTGTCTCTGGGTAAACAAGCTGTAACCACACAAGCAATTCCAGCAAGGAGATGGAACAGGAGCAAAGATGGGCGACGCCCCCACCTGTCAAGAAAGGGTGAGGCATATCGATTAATGTTGTATCTACAACACTGTTACACGCCTAAGTCTGTTAAAGTAATTTGTCAATTAGCTGATGGGCCACACTTTCTCCGAACTGAAGTCTTTGAAATTTATGTTAAACGTAGGTCAAACGTCATCAACCTTTGTCAGTTGAATGACCCAATAATCTGTACCAGATCATGGTGAAGCTTGTAAGGACGTAAGCAGGTATCTCCACCAAAGCTATCAAGAAGAAATTGAAGTATTTATCGCCAGCCAGGTTGGAACTGTACAGTGAAACGCCGTAGTATACCATGCTGTTGACAAACCTGTCATAAAGAAAGAGAAACTTGATTCAATTAAATTTCTGACGAACAGGAAGATTGCTAAGATAATGATTAGGATAAGATTTGCATCAACCCCGCCATGTTTTGTCCAAGTATTGCTAAGTATAGCCTATAATACTTGACGAATTTCGGTCCAAATATTCGGATCTTCATATGGCAACTCCACTAACCTACATGCACACTGTGTTTCCTTTTTCATGTGTTATATCTACAACCATAAAAACGTGAAATTACTCTTCATAAAAACTTTAGCAAAGGAAGTGAACATGGGCAGGGAAATACCGATTTTATGTTTACCATGGTGGAATTCGATTCAGTGAGGCTAGTTACACAGTGCATTTCTATGTATGTTCAACAATTCTGACGACGTACCGCTACAAATCTAATCAGTTATTTTAAACGCCATCTCGGCAGTGGTGAACCCCATTCAACATAAACATACAGTCTTTATTCTCTGCCCTCGGTCACGATCTTCCAGAAATGAATACTTCTATTTAGGTCCAAAAGAATATACTCTACTATTGACTCGTGGTGCACTATTGATCGTGTTTTGGTTTCGATGAAGCTTGAAAGTAACAGAAAAGTCGAAGGTGGATTTAAGCTTGGAACAGGCAAAGTTGAGCCTCAGCTTCAAATTCTAAAGCCAAATTCGCTAGAAATAACTCTGTGCAGTGTGCAATCATGCGTTTTGCGTTGAAGTACGCTTTAGACGTGCAACAGAGTACAGTTGAACTCTAAGCGCATTGACATCCAGGTTCAACTTCATTCGTACAAAAGACGATAAAAGACTCGACATCAGTGAAGGTCGCGTGTTGTCCATCTTGGACAAGTTGAAAGAAATTTATTTCTGGTAATTTTTTTTTTCTTTTCTCTGTGTGAGATCTGTAACCTCTCAACCTTACGAAACAGCAGTACACGAAAAAACGAATGTGAAAATATCACAACATGCAGATATTGTTATGTAGTAGATTAGCATTGAGACACAAAAATGTTCGTTTAGACATTTCTGTATCCAACAAAGAAGAACAAAGACGGCTCATGCCCCACACAAATATGTATTATGTATTTGTTAGTAAATAAAGTGATTAAATTCAGACCGATGGGTTAATCCAACACTTTCTGCTGTTAGACGAACATAAACGTTAGAAGTTTTATCAAAACATTATCAGGCTACGTTCTTGCCCGGCAATTTTAGGCCTATTCTGATTGACATCTATTCTAAAGGTCTCGACATGGAAAAGAAGTAATTTTTTAAGGTATTCCAGATCGCGGCTATGGTAAATGTTTTTCCTCTGTCTCTCGTGAAAAAGAGAGACCAAATTGTGTTCCTGACAGATTTCCAGTCGACGCACACGAAAATTGTGAATTCATTATTAATGATTCTCAAAGATGTGTGATTCATAAATATTATACTATCCCAAACCCAACTAAACAACAAACAATTTAAAGAGTCTACTTTGTTTCAAAAGAGCGTTGATACATCTACTTACCAGGAGAAACACATTATGAGGAGATTTCGCAGTATTCTCCAGCTCCTCAAGATGTCAATCAAAGTATGAGTCTTCACTTTCTTTGCCTTGTCCTCACTTGATCCTTCATCTCTCTGGACCTCAGATGTCTTAGTCTCAACTGTTGCAAGGTTACCGTTGCCATAAGAGACACTGGCTTCGTTTAATTCATCCGATTCGCGAATGGTATGACCTTCGTGGATGACGCTGAATCCACCAGGGGGTGGAGTTATTCGATTGAATCGAGCGATCCGGTGCAAGATTCGAAAAGCGTCTTTATGTCGCCCTCTAGAAAGCAGCCACCTGACTGACTCATACAATATACTGGAAGGGGAAACAGAAAATCTCACAGAATCTGAATCAGAAAAACAGTTAGCTCCTTTGTATTTCAGCTTTCTTAGCTGTTACCCACAGCTGCATGCATCTTTAAACTGAACGAAGGTCACCTTTGCGTTTTGAGTTTTGTTTCGGTTACCTACTTTGTGTACTTTTTACTCCCAAGAAATCCACACACATCTTGGTTCCTTTGTGCCGTAACAACACTAAAAAGCTATTGTATATCACTCTCTGTCAGATTGATGGATTTGATTTCTAAACCCGATACAGTTTCCGATTTGACGCCCAAAGCTACAGCTTGTATGTTGTTTTCATACCTTTGTAATCAAGTTATTTAGCTTTAAACCATTAAATAAACGGTTTAGTGCGCTATTCTGGTATTGCAGTCCCACTGGGACCGATGCAAGCAGGAAAATCAGGGCTGATGTAGGTTTCAGAAGACCGATAGAACAGACTACATGGAGCCCCATGCAGAACGGTAAGTCACACAAAAGAAAAGTTTCATTCTCAAGAAATCACACTAGCTGTGTTGTTCACAGTGTGTGTGAGTGTTGGGATTGTTGACAAGCTGACCGTCGCTTGAATGCTGTCTGTGTTTGTTGCCCAAAGTTTCGTTTAGATCTTACAAATGAACCACTGGTGAAGAAATTATCAAAATCTTGCACTCAAGTTTATATCTAAGCACTGTACATCAAGTCCCTGAGTTATGCCAATAAAGCCGGTCACCTTGGACGGTCTTACGGATTTCGTTCATCGTATACCCTGTTTATTATTGCTGTGAACCTTTGAAAATAGTTCGTCCTCTTGAAATCATCATGCGTGCTGTGATGGCCGAATGGGATTTGGGGTGAAATCAGGTGAACAAAATGAACAACTCAATACCTCAGGATTATTTCCCCACGTGAGTGAGTTTAGCATATAATTATTATGTAGGAGATGTGGAAGATCTGTTTGACTGAAGGTTTTGCAGGTTGACATCCCACATTCGGTATTAGAATGTGTAATAGGCAATGACTGATTTATGGCCTGTAATTTCACAGATCAGGGCCTACTCCTTTGAGATAACACGATTTGTCTCTCAGTACAACTGAGTCTCATTAAAATGCTCATTTTTAACTAGACTGGAGAATTTTTCTACATTTCAAAGTCTGAAATAATGATTGTCAGTGATACTTACAACCAGAGCGGTATGGCCACAACACACGGCACTGAGATAGCAAGTTGCATTTTACGCCAATCTCTGAGAAAGTACGCGATGGGAGCCAACAGGGTCACGCCCACTCCCCAAGAGATGTTGTTGATACAACCTGCAATGGATCGCTTCTTGGGAGAAAACATCTCCATGATGAGTACATACTCAGTCAGGTTCATACCCTTGGGAAGACAGAGCAAAACATGCTTGGTTTAGGTCAGGTCTTGTGATTTGGATGTTAGTGGTTGGTATTTGACTGCTGTGGTCATGATATTTCTTCCATAGAGCAGGAAATGGATATTGTGTGGTCCCAGAGTTACAAAATATAGTTTGGAAATAAGGAAAATCTTTTGTTGAAATGGTCAACAAGAATTGTGCGTAAGTTAACAGCTACAGTCGACTAGCCGGAAAACAGCGAGCCATTCATTTGCAGAACACGGGCCAGCCGAGAAATCAACCTGCTGCCAATATATCGAGCAGCCAGACAGACAGATGCATCCAACTATCTAAATCATAACTCAGGAAATTAGTTGCTCAGCTCAACAGTTATACATCTTTAAACCAACATGCAGTGGAATTCCAACATCATAATAACCGGACAACAGGCAACGGTTCTGTTAATGACAAAGACAAATTGAACAATAAATTTCATCAAGAGGAAAGAATTGAAAGAGAAAACTTACCTGCTCGAACATTCCGATAAAGAACCACAGCATGGCGAACCAATGATACTCGTACACAAAATAGATAGCAGTACCAGCACCTGCTTGGAGTAATACACTGAGTAGCAGAACTGTCTTCCGACCGATGAGGTCCGAGAGATGACCAAAGATGAAAGCCCCAGCCAACACGCCGGTGAACAAGATGGATTGAGCGGTACTGGCGAGGATTTCTTGGTCACAGACAAGGTCGAGCTATGACAAATATTAAAAAAGAAAACTGACAAACATTTAATTTGGCAAAGGATGGTAAAATACGCCAATGAAAAATATAAACTAAAATAATTAGACTTTGTCACTGCCAACCCACTCCATTTCCTTAAAAGTCTGCGAGTTCACCACGACGTTTCGCCTTGTTTAGTGCCCTAACCTCAACCTGTGTTAAACATTGGAAAGTGCATGTATATCTGAGAAAATCCAGACACATCAAGAGGAGGCTTAATTTGTTTTTGCACGGAATATTCACAGAATTTCAGAAGTGTAACCTCTTACCTCCATAACAATGGTGTTTTCGCCATAAATGGGCTGATAGTCGTATCCGTTTCTGCATTTCACTTCTTGGCTCGTATTGATAAAGGAAGTTCCATTTCTATCCTGCAACACTTCGAACATGTCACATTGCGAGAAAGTTTCGTTAAAAGGCACACTCTCATTCAGCGAGAATCCCGGGCTTGCCCGGCAGTGGAACGGTGGTTGATGGCCGGTGAAGATAATTCCGAAGATCTGCCATGCTGGTAACCATGTCCCGACAAGCGTGATCAGGATATAAGCTAAGGTTTGGTATCGACCAAAGTCTCCCAAAAACACCCAAACCTCGTCCAGATCCATGTGTTCCTGCTGAAATATTTCCTCGTGAATTATCTAATCTGTATTGGTATGTCCAGCTGCTTGTCAACAGAGCTCTTTACGTGGCATCCGTTGCTGGAGTTTACTACTGACTGAATGGACCATTTAAACCAACACACAGGTGACGTGCGGCCCTACCCTGTGACCAGACAATAGGCAATTTTTTTCCCCTGAATTTTCAAGTTACCTTATGGTGTGAAAGTGCAAACTGTAAACTCAGCCAAACAACTTTGACTCAGAAATGAGGGCCCACGCTAAAGCTACTAGGGCAAAAGACAGATATCGAATGTTTAAGCAAACAAAATAATATAAAATATTTCGGATTTATCGATTAGACCCGATGCATTGTGGGAAACTAGTCATTTGAGTCAAGGCCCGTGTAATTTCATGAGAAACCTTTTGAACTTGTGGCTCTACGAAATTCACCGAAATTCCGTGGTACTAGCCGACCACCTGTCATCCTCTTCCTCATGGTAAGAATAAGGAACAAAAATCAAATTTTTGATGCAATTTAGTTTTTGCGAATTACAATTCCATACACGCACAGCTGGATATTTATTTTACATCTGGTACTTATTTGCATCTTTACCGGCTCAACTTCAAACGACCTTGTAGATGGTTATCTGCTGAAGGCAACAAAAACACATATGCGTGTCAGAACTGTGAAAGGCAGTTATCTTATAAACAGTTTGTCATTTTGCGTCGGCAAATCCTTGCTGGATCTTTTCAGTCGGGAATTCTTGTATTTTTTAAAGGCATGCCTTACTTTTTATCTTTTGCCACAGTATGGAGGTGATTAATGTTCACAGTAATCAGACACGACCTTTAACCAAAGTGGAACTAATCTGGTTTTGATTTGTCTTTAGTGTGCGGCGGTTTTTCTAACACTATATTACCGACAGCCCCAGTTGTACTTTTTCATTCTAGCGTTTATCTCAAGTCAAAATCTGACCGAGCAGCAATTCGACTTTAGCTGTAAAACTACAAGCAGCGCAGTGGGAAAAACACTTTGCCCTGCCTCTAACGATAACAGTTTACTTACTGGTGCTCAAAATGTAATTACATTTCACCTTGTAATACATTCTAGCCCTAAACATGCCCAATAATCTGTCGAATTCGACAAATTGTACGGTGTACTATAGTTTACTTAGTTTATTGTAACAATGCTGAGCAAAGAAATTTTGATGACAAAGTTTACAGTAAAATCAAGAAAAGGATTAACGAGGCTAACCGCTGTTGTAATTTTAAGGGCTTGTGCCCTTACCAGGAGCGCCTAGAGGTTTACAAAGTCACTAATACGCACAATTATATACCATGATCGATACAATGAATTTGTAATTTAAGAAACAATAATGGCCATACGCGTCTCCATCGTTTGCTGTGTACAACCAATTTAGCCTATGTGATCAAGCGATGGCAACGTTTTGTGACAAGTAAATAGGTGTTTAAAACCCGGCTAGTGGTAATCAAAATCACACTTTATAATTTCTCTGAATGTTCAGTTTTTAGGATATGTATAAATAAGGATACCTAAACTTTTCAACCACATTCGCTGAAATGAAACCACTACTAACGCGCGTGCCAACATGAAACAGCCGTTGCATTTTTTTCAGACCATCTTCCCTGTTTTTAATCACAGGCCAAAGGTTTACATTTTATCCTAACTCCACTGTCAGTTGCCATGGGGATATGGATTTGAGTCGGTTTTTATCTCCATGCGAGCTTTCTAGCACGCTTACTTAAAGGATGAAGTGCGTTCACTATCGACGGGGCAAACATCCTTTGCCAACAGTTTCATAATGACGTTGGAAATTGTGCAGATTTTCAACCATTCCGATTTTTCTGCCGTCTCTGTTTGATGTTAGTATTAATTTTCTCACATTTGTCTTAATTGTGACGCTAATATAATTTCCTCCAATTATCCTAGACATGACTCTTAAAAACCACATCTAGTTTAATATGGTGGAGGCTGTGAAACATTTTAAAAACCTTCGTAAACTATACACTTGTAAAAACAGCGCTCAGCGTCTAAACATTCTCTGTGCCCACATTTAGGCTGAATGTCAGGCTAAAACACGTTAAGAAATGTGCATGAAAGCTAAACACGTTTCTATGGTACACGTTTAGGTTTGTAAAATCTGCTTAGCATTGAAACACGTTTCGAAATGTGTCTAAACTCTGAGCACCTTTTCATTTTTAATGTTATTTACTGATTATTTTTACAGTGATACGTGTATTGTCAGTGTAACCACTGAAAGTACTATGCATAAAGATTTTTCTTCTATAAATGTCCCCGGTAGGCTTGGCAACGTTTAACTACAGTGACGTAATGAACAATAAACTCGCGCACAAACAAACTTACAAAATTCAAAGTTAAGTTTATCTTAATAACTTTTCAAGAGCACCAAAGTTATCAACTTACTAACAAATCCTTTGATTCAAGATCTTTCATGCACGAATCATGTTTTGCTCACGTTTAGTTTTCCGTATCCCCCTTCTTTAATTTGCCTGGCTTGCTTGATGACATCACAATGGAATGGCGCACAAAGTAACAAGTTGAGTTTTGTCATGGACGTGTATAATGTATATACGTCCGTGAGTTTTGTATACAAAAGTTAATGGAAGTCTAAAATGCTTGTGATCTGAGCTCTTATTCGGGGGTCAGTGAGTAAAGTTTGAAATGCCAGTTGTCTATATTATGCCGCACTATTTGAATATTTTTGGCAGTGAACAACTCCTAAAAGTCCAAAGAACCGCCGTCTTCAGCGCGCTAAAATAAACACGTTTATCTGGATTGTTTTGTTTCTCTATCTCCGCGAACACACTGTTGACATCATTAATAGTAGAACTAAGATAACTAAGTAACATAACGACACTGTCAGGTAAATCGCATCTTTTTGACCCAAGTATAACGATTGCTTAAACTGGTGATACTTGTCAGTGGATTTCACGAAGGAATCTCTAAAGATTTTGAGATTTTGTTTGTATATTTTCACGCAGTTGTTGAAACGAGTCGTAAACTAGTTCAGGGACAGCACGACCTAGTTCACGCGACAAAACAAACTGAGTAGTGGTTTAAAACGCACCCAACTTGACAATGCTGAATGTTGGAATCGGTCAAAGTAAATACCGCTAGTTCATGGTTGGATTCACATAAAAAAATGTAGATACAGAGATGTGGATAATGGTATGAGGCTAGGTATCTGTGTACGCTGGGGGAATATACATAATGCATGTAGTAATACACGTACCGTATTACGCTTTATGGCTACTGTGTTATTGGCACCAATAATCTTAGCATAAAAGAGCCAAGATGGCGCGAAAATAATTGACCGTTAAAACTGTCTTTAATGTCAGTGTTTGAGCTTCACATCGATAACAGTAACTCAAGCAGTAACTGATACGAAAAAGTGCCAACTCACACGGTACTCACACGACCACACAGCTCATGACTTCAACAGCAAAAAATAGAGATGAGATTTCTATAAATTGTGCTCACTAGTGTGGTTTCGTTACGTTTGTGGGCAAATATTGCAGACACGACGATTGGGAACCATCCCAAAGTGTACCACTGATCTTTTCTGTGCCATACTTTAGTGTGCCTCTTTTGCATGTCGCAGATTGCACAGCCATTTAGAAAAAAAGTAATTTATGTGATGACTTACTAATACAAAACGTCTGTTTTCTCAGAACATAGCTCTTGGCAGACAAAATTGCAGCCAAAGGGCAGAATTAAACAATGTTTTGTATACTGACTGGATATTAAGGTCGTACTGTAACTTTACAGAAATTCTCACACACTGCAAAGCATAAAACATGGCCTATAACCCTGACCTTACCCCCAAAATATTACTTGCCAATGTATTATAAATAATTGCGTTCCCATACTGACATGCCTCTGCAGGGGCTTGGGGATAACCATATCGGTTTAAAGTAACAATGTATTGGCGGGTGAGTCTTGTAAAAGTAGCATTTTTGCCGCACTTTGCAATTTTGCAGACTTCTTCCCTAGATGAAAGGCCTCCAATTCTGAGACCTTGACCTACTCCACTGAACAAGCACGTCCTCTTGTTTGAAATTATTCAGTAGTCTGTGTTCAAATCATAACATTAACGTCCATTTTTATATCGTACATTGTTTGAATAGAAATGCGAGTGAGATTGAAATAAATGTGAAATATCTTAAACAGAGAATCGAATAGTTTCACAATTATAACCAGCTAATGATTAATAAGAAGAGCACTGTTTATGAAAGCGGCAGTTGAATATAACATCGACGAAAAAACGCCATTTCAAGGAAATGTTTATCCCTAACTAAGCTTCGCTGCCTGGCCATTTACAATACCCACAATTTACAATAACGACACAAAGACTGCTACACTTTATTGAGTCCTTCCTCTCTATATCAGGCTGAAGGCTACACAAGCCAACACCACATAATTAGTCTCAATTGAATTTATTTTAATATACCAATCTTATATTCCATAATGTACATCAGTTTTAAGTAGAATAAAGAATCAACTGGTAACATTGCACAAAATTAATAGTGAAGAAAAATTACAAATGGTGAAATAGCCAATCTAATATGATAGCAAAGCACGGATGTCATTGTTGGGGCCGGAATAAATCAAGGGGAGGGGATGAGATACTGAACCCTTTTTTTCCGGGGTAGATCATTAAGAGAAAGAAAGGGCCAAAGGGAAAGCTAGTTCCATGAAAGAATTTGACAGAACTATTTGTTTGGATTTTTCTGCAGGACATTTCCTTCGTAACAGTTTGAGGAAACTGCTCCTGCAGGATTTTGATTGACAAGAGCTCCTGCTGTTTACAGTGGTCCTCGATAACAGAGGGAAAGAACCCCTACGGTGAGTGTTAATAGTCAAGATTTACTCTTTATGAAATGAAACTATTCCAAACTCATTTAAAAATAAAAGAATTTGTGATTGAAAAGACAGACTTCTTGCCGGGTAGGATTTGCTTCACATGGAGAATGTAAACAAGAGGTCATCCGTAGAGTCCTTGAGAAGTGACAGAGGACAGGTCCCACTGGATACTCGCGTGTAGAAATATACAACTTAATACAAGACACAAATCTACAAATGTTCAATAAGTTAACGGTTAACAAAAACTGGATTACTTACAAGTTGGTGAATTCTAATGATTTCAATACTTTCAACGAGTATTTAAAAATAAATTTTCGGAGTGTGCGGTAAAGGGTCAGCAGCGCAATGAAACTTAAAATCGTTATCCTTACGCTCTTAGAGTCTAACTAAATACATGGAAAAGTTTTCCTAGTTTTACGCTTTAAAAAAGGAATATACATGACTGCCGATTCCTGGTTCCTATTGAAAGTTAACTTTAAATCCACGATACAAAAGAATCTCATTTTCACATTTTCTAATATTTAAAGACTTGAGTAAACGATTACCAAGTCACGTACTTCACTTACTGACTTAATTTTGTTACTTTCAAGTTAAAGTTGCCGATCTTCAAGTTTAACGGCAACTAAAAAGGTTGGATAACAGAACAGCTATAGTTCATAGCATTCACGCCATGGATATTAAAAATGTCTCCATATAAATGTAGTGTGTTGAAAAATTCAGACCAGATATATACTGATCCAATTAGGATCTTTAAATAGATGTTTGCTTAGTTCTATCGTCACGAATTTATGCACCTATGCTGCCTAACACTGCACTAGGCCACACAAACCGACAAAGGCAAAAGCCGTTTCGTATACGCTACCACCTTTGGACAAATTTACTTTGCTGCCCAGCAATGTGGATTTGATGGGGACAGAAATGTTGAACCCTGTATCCAATACTATTCCCAGAGAGTGTGACTCAAAGGGCTTGCATGAAATTTAAGCTACACTGATGTTCAAATGCTAGTACGTTGATTTATATTAGACCATATATGTACAAATGTTAGGGCAATAAGTCTAAAAGACTGACTCTCTACTAGTTAATACAAATTAATAGGCATTTTTTTTTCACAACCCTCATCTCTGGTTGTGAATTTACTCAACAATTAACAAATGCAACCCTCTGTCTTTCCTGATAGTCATAATTATTTAATAATTTGCAGCCGTACCAGGGCCCAAAACTAGCTCCAAAAAACAAGCATATTATAGGGCTAGATCAACAGTACATAAAAAATAAGCCAATAGCTATTCACACTAGTGCTCTTAAGCTAATTGTGTGGGCGTCAGAAGGCGCTATGTCTGTCAAAAAGCGAATAGAGTGAACACCAGGAAAGCTTAATCCCAAACGCAGGCAAGGAAGTGACCAAAATGAGACGTGGTATTAACCCAAGGATTTTGTTCGATAATAAACTTTACTGTTAGTTGCCAAACACAAATTCATCATTCAAACAAAAGCTCCCAGTACATAACCAAATGATCACTGCAATGGAAAGATAAAATTCAATATAAATATGCATTTTCCACGATCTTATGTATATAATATACAAACATTGAACGTACATATTCATGCATGTGCACACCTATTGATGTGTATGATATAGTAATATATTAATGTAAATGAAATCATTTGTACATAATTACATCAGCAAAAATCTAATTGTACTTACAAATATACCAGCAAACAAAAGGTGAATATCTTCTTTTTTTCCCCTCAATAACCTTCATTTTCGGATTATAACATCCAGTTATAAGTTCATGGGAAACAATTGTCAACTGTATGTCAGAAACTGGAGAGAAGAACCGTGAACAAGATTAAAATTTCCCATTCATATTTTCCTGTTTCTCATGAAAGATTTCGAGGGGTACAACCAGATCGGTAATGATTTTATGCACAATGGAACTTACACAAGAAACACTGACGTCAACTTATGACTAAACTGATATAAGAATACATTACTAACATCAAAATATCAATGAATGATTATTATAATAATATTTAGCCACAAGTTTTCACGTCAGAACATTCTAGGTGTAGTCATGTCTGCACTGCCATGTCAAAGCCGTGTTGGAATGAAACCCTTATTCAGCCATTACTGACACTTTTTATTAGACCTTGCCATATTTTGGACAGTGAACAGGGACAATATAATTGAGCTCCTGTTCAACACCCACTGTGTATTGCTTCTCAAGGCTGATATGATGAGAGTTGATCAAGCATATCAAACACACGAACTATGCAATGTGGACTGCTTCATTGTACTTCAACTCTACAGATTTTTTGTCATCATGAACTCTGGGTTTTGAATAAACCTGGAATGGGAAAATACCAGTGACCCCATGATTCTAAACTGCATATTTTATGCATTTAAAATCCGAGAAATGAGTTTTTTAAAGTCTATTTTTTAAATATACCTTTATATTATCATAAAGCCTGCAGTAAGTTGAAATTTCTTACAATTTTATAAATAGCAGTTTATTTTGTGAGGAGAAGGAGGGTGCCAGTTTTACAATGAATTAATGATCTCATAACACAATGACGTTAATCTAAACTTGGACAGTCATTTCAAAATTGGAGGTTGAACAACCGATTGGTCACAAAGGTTTTCTTCCGGGGTCGTCTGTCTGTCCATAACAAAGAGGAAAGAAACCATGAACAGGTGACTATAAAGACCTTGCAAAAGGAATTTAAGGTCAAATGAAGAAAAGACGTAAATGTTTAAAATTTTCACACTTTCTCGGCTTCACAATAGCTTATTGTCTGCAAAATGGCTTTTGTGTTGGCTGCCAATTTCAATTTTCAAAACTTGCATTACAGAGGTTATTCAAGGCAAAAATGTCACAACAATTATTTCCAGTTGCTGGTTTAGTTCAGGATTTTCTGCAACCCTGTCACTGATGCATATATAAATCTTTTTACTTCTTTTCTCAAATTTTACACACGAGGTTGGGGAAGGGTTGCTGGACCAATTAGGTCAGGTGGATTTTCTTATCTTTCTTAATCTCTTAATCATCATTTCATTCTCATCATTCCATTACTAATTCGTTGGGTTAGTCTGGTGGTTCTCTAACTCGTTAATTACAATAGATGATGTCAATATATCCTGCCTATCTAACAGTACATTGGCATTAGGGTCTCCATTCTCTATCTCTTCCATGGGGTGCGTCTCAGGTTCTATCACTATTTCTATAACATGGTTTCCACCCTCAGTTGTCAAAGTTGTTATTTCAAAGCCTGGTGTCTCCCTTAGAGTGAGTTCTGTTTCCTTGTCCGAGTTGACAGCTGTCTGATTGTTACAAACCTGAATCACTGTCTCAGTAACATAACTGGTTTGTTCTTCCATGGATTCAAGTTGGTCTGTGGACAGCACTGATTCACTCATTGGTATGGTTACCAGAGTGAATTCAGGCTGTGCATATGGCTCAGTGGCAGGTGGGCTTATGATAGGAATTCTTGCCTGAAGCTCTGGATTGGTCACAAAATCATTCTCTGTGGAAAACTCAGGTTGCTGTTGCGGCTTGGCGAAAGGCTGGCTTTCAGAGAAAACCTGTGTCTGTGGCTCTAGCTTGTTGGTAGATTGGTTCTCAGTCACTGCAAGTGGCTGGGGCTGCACTTTGGTTGTGGCTTGGTTCTTCATAGGCTGTGGCTCTGGCTTAGTTGTGGATTTGTCCTTCACAGGCTTTGGCTCAGGCTTGGTTGTGGATTGGTTCTTCTTATGCTGTTGCTCTGGCTTGGTTGTGGATTGGTTTTTCTTAGGCTGTGGCTCTGGTTTACTTATGGATTTGTCCTTCACAGGCTGTGGCTCAATCTTGGTTGTGGATTGGTTCCTCTTAGGCTGTTGCTCTGGCTTGGTTGTGGATTGGTTCTTATAATGTTGCTCTGGCTTGGTTGTGGATTGGTTTTTCTTAGGCTGTGGCTCTGGCTTACTTGTGGATTTGTCCTTCACAGGCTGTGGCTCATTCTTGGTTGTGGATTGGTTCCTTTTAGGCTGTTGCTCTGGCTTGGTTGTGGATTGGTTCTTCTTAGGTTGTTGCTCTGGCTTGGTTGTGGATTGGTTCTTCTTAGGCTGTGGCTCTGGCTTGGTTGTGGATTTTTCCTTCACAGGCTGTGGCTCTGATTTTATTGTGGATTGATTCTTCTTAGGCTGTTGCTCCGGCTTGGTTGAGGATTGGTTCTTCTTAGGCTGTTGCTCTGGCTTGATTGTGGATTGATTCTTCTTAGGCTGTGGCTCTGGATTGGTTGGGGATTTTTCCTTCACCGGCTGTGGCTCTGGCTTTATCGTGGATTTGTCCACACGCTGTGGCTCAGGCTTGGTCGTGGATTGGTCCTTCTTAGGCTGTGGCTCTGGCTTGGTTGTGGATTGGTCCTTCACAAGCTGTGGCTTTGACTTGGTCCCGGCCTGGTCCTCCATGTTTTGTACCTGTGATTCTCTCTTAGTCACTAATTGGTTGTCATGTGTGAGTTGAGGCTCAGGTTCCAAAGGTGCAGAAGTCAAACTATCACAAGATTCCGCCTGAAGACATTGAAAGAATTTACAAAATATTGGATGTCAAAATATTGAGAAGAGCACAGGCCATTTGTAGACATCACAAACATAAATTCAGGTTAAGTTTTGATTGAAAAGTTTAGGTTTGGGAGGTATGTGTGAGTCAAAAGTCTGTGTGTCAGTAATGGAAAAACTATAAGAGAGGGTAGTGTATTAGGGACTGAATTGGAACATCAGTAGTTAGCACATTAAAAGACAGAGGATTAGTTGTGGGCTTTAGAAGTGAACAGTTTAAGTTCTCAACAAGGTTTCAAATTCAAGACAATTAAAGTTGCGTATGCATGATGGCTTTAAAGCTGTTTATAGACAAGCCATTAGTAATTAACAAACCACAAACGTGGTAGCAAAACCTGTGCCAATAAGCAACAAGTTTCACTTGACATGGCAGATAGTGAAGTGGGATAGGCTACAGGTGTTTTTGGTCAACTAATAGCAGGAAGATAAGTGACTATCCTATTTTACCCCATATTCCATAGTTTCTTACAAAATATCCATGATTCCCAAGAACTTTACATTAAGTTCTCTTTCTTAGTTCATAGATTGTTCATGTGTGGTTTTTCACAAGCATTGAACAATTTTCAATGAGATTGTAATGATTTTTACAAACACCAGTTTTTCAATCTGATACATTCACAATAAAGGAATTCTTTAATTCTCAACTAAACTCAATATTTGAGCAGCCAAGAAACACTGAAGAAACACAATGTACATATCACATACTTTCCAAAAAGTTGTCTACATGTAAAATGCACAAAAGTATTGCTACAAAGAAGAAAAACTGACTTCTAGTACTGAAAAAAAAATTCAATTATGTTAACAATTTTTACACTGAACATTAAACAAAAGCAAAAACACAGGACAGACTGAAAATGGGGCAGGTAATCATAAGATGGAATGTAGGAGAAACAAGTGGATTGCCAATTTGAAAGAATGGCAGATTGAATTCAATAACCTACAAAGATAAGGCAGTTCATTCGTATCAACAGTGATATAACCCAATGATGATATCTTACCTCAAATAAAAATGGTTGTGACCTAATAAGAGGCTCAAACAAAGAAAAATCCTGCAAAATTTGGTAGGATGGGGTTGGGTTTGGAGGAGTGATAAGAAGAAGGTATAAAATGAGGGTGAAAATGTGAATGAAAAGGACATGCAAAATCATAGCCATTCCTTTATGAATTACAGAAGTTATTTTACCATAATCAGTTTCCGTTCAAATGGCTCATTTCATTACCATCACGCATGTGCCATACTCGCATATCACAAACTGTGCTTATTAAATTCTTCTTATTATAGATTTTCCCTAGCTTTTCTAATGATTAGATCTTTGTGAATGAAAAATACAGTACATGTATGTGTGAAGAAATTTTAGGGGAAACTATGCCCCACAACAAAAGGAAAGCTTTTCACAAGGAGACTTTTAAGTATGGATATGGCATGTTATTGTAAATAATTATTACCTCATGAAGCTGTTAACTTTTAGATTATTGAAGTTATTAACCACAGAGTATGATGAATTGAATCACTTGATGCGCCACAGAAACGGTGCATTTTGAGAAGCCAAATCAGCTTAGTACTTAGTACTCCTGTCTTTCTTGTTTAATCTTATCATTGAGAATAAGGCTTATGGGGTTACAAATATCCTCATATGCAAGATGCCATCACGCTATTGATGCCATCAAAGGTTATATGCAAACAAGACAACATTCTGATGAAAGAGCAAGCATCATGCATAACATACATGTATATACTAAATGCAGAATAAATCAAATACTATCAATCCTGTCAACACTCAAAATATGTAAGTCATGCAGTAAGAGGATGTTCTTATAATACAAATGACAAACCTCATCAAGTGTCACTGAGAGCAAAACAACTTAAAAATTACATCATGAATGCTACATTGGGACATTACAAAAAAAAAACAAAACAAAAATAAACCACAATGCAACCACAAACCTTGACTGCTCGGACTAGGACTGCTTCGTGCAAGATGATAGGACAATGGCTCTAGGTAACTGCCCGGTACCCAGCCCTGCTGGCTGGTGTACGGGTGGCTAACCAGCCACCAGCCCTCTTTACCGACCTTCTGAACGTTGACAATATCACCAATTTTGACTGCCATTTCACCTTCCTCAACAACGTTGTATTCAGCAAGGACCACATACTGGTTTACAGGCTACACAGAGAAAGGACAACAGCAGTGTCAATCTTGAGGTCATGTGATCAATCAAAGTCAAAATGCAATCAACACTTCTTGCAACATTCTTACCAAAAAATCAATTCAAGGTACTATTATGATGTAACCACGGCACCATTAATCTCAGACCAGTCAGGAATCAACAGAGGGAGCTAATACTCTACCCAAGATGTAATAACAGCAATCCTGCCTGCTACAGTCAGTCAAGGATCAATAGAGGGAGCTAATACTCTACCCAAGATGTAATAACAGCATTCCTGCCTGCTACAGTCAGTCAAGGATCAATAGAGGGAGCTAATACTCTACCCAAGATGTGATAACAGCAATCCTGCCTGCTACAGTCAGTCAAGAATCAATAGAGGGAGCTAATACTCTACCCAAGATGTAATAACAGCAATCCTGCCTGCTACAGTCAGTCAAGAATCAATAGAGGGAGCTAATACTCTACCCAAGATGTAATAACAGCAATCCTGCCTGCTACAGTCAGTCAAAAATGTGCTATTTAACTGTGGATCAATCAGCAGCAATCTTACCTGAGGTGAATGTGATTCTCTCCTATCTTCCAAGGTATCATCATCTGATTCACTGAATTCTCCACTCTGCCAGCCTTCTTCATTATCATCTTCTTCCCCTTCCAGTGACTGTTCACTGGCTAGGGAGGGATTAGCACTCCCATACCCAGTAGAGGAAGTATCACTGGCTGTGGGTGAAGGTAGGGGGCCTCCGTTGGGGGTTGCGTTCTCAGTGATGGAGCTAGGGACAAAAAAAATTGGGAACTAAGTATGTAAGCAAGGCTTAGTAGAACCAAATTGAGTATGGGGGATACATAAAGCTGGTGCAACGGGAATCAATAAGGGAAATGTAGACACCTACCCACTTTCTGAGATGGACTTTTGTAATGGTTTACCTGTTCAAGAAAGGTGATAAAGATTTCAAAACATGATGAGCACTTGAGTTGAATGCAAAACTTCAAAACACATTTTTTGTTACACATCAAGAGTTTCAGCTGCAATAATGTTTTAATGACTACTGTTTGTATGTCAGCATCCCAAACAAATGATGGCAAAAATTCAATAAAAGATCGACTGTTTTAGAGATTGGAACAAACAACAATGAATACAGTAGTTTAAGTCTGTAGGCTGTGCAAAGCATGATAGTTTGAAAAGATTGATTGCATTAATCATGGTACCTGCAACCTCAAGTTGTTGATTCTGTAGTAAGGCCTGTCTCGTTGCTTTCAACCATGCCATCTTCTCTGCCTCTGAGGAGGCCTTGAAGTAGAAGAACAAATGATTGAAACAGACTTGATTATGATTGGAACAAGTGTCAAAAACTGTGTGATAATTCGATAACAGTACTGGTTACTTGTCTCTGGACAGACTACTCGCACAGTGCAGGTGTTTGTGAAACACAATCTAATTCAGACCATCATTATGTACTTCTGAATGGGCGAGAGCACCATTCTTAGTTTAATACAAAAGTTGGATGTTAATTAGATACTGACTGGCAGAAAAAAACACTGATAATTGAAATACCTGGAATGTGTAGACATCTACTCGGCCACCTGACCACATCTCAAATTTCCTCTTGTCTCCTTTGACGTGTTCTGTCAGTCCAATTCCAGCAGTCTGTCAAACAATCAACTCAATTATGTAAGTTACCATGGAAAATGGAATTCAAGGTTGAAAGTCTTTTCCAGCAAGTCATTGGCAGAGTTCAAATGATTTAAAACTAATATATGGTATGCAGAACAGGTAGCAAAAAGTGACACACAGAATAGGTGGCCAAAAACCTTACTCAGCTGTATTTTGCGTAAGTTTGGCATAAAAGACAGGAAGAGTGCTACCAGCAATGGGCCCCATCAGGGTAATGAAAGACTCATAGAGGCCAACCTTTAGAGAGCTCTTGTAACCATAGCACGTCTTCTCCTTGATATCTCCACGCTTTTTACAGAAGAGTACCATCTTCTCATACAGGAAGACATGTCGTTGCATCTTGCGTTGCCTGATGTTACGCTTCTTGTGTTCTACCCACATAAAGAGGGCGCCTTGCATGAGTAGCTTGCCCAAGTTGGAAAGCTTACCCTGATGATGATTATAAGAATACCAATCAATTTATCATACAGCTCACTCTGACAGGTGTATCACAACCTGCAGGTAACTCCACTTGAATTTTTTAATACTATTTCTTGTCTTAAGTAGTACTGATCATGATTCTTGTCTATCAATGCAAACAGAGTTTGTTGATTGGCATAAATGTCAACTATTCAAGAAATCTGACAGATGCTTTTGTTAATGAGAGTATTTCCATTTGCTCCTACCTCAAACCCTGTGATGGCCACTTGATGCATGGTGTCATTGACATATTTGATGACAGTCAACATACAATCTAATGCTGTCTGAAGGTCGTCTGTTCCTGGTTCTAAGGAGGAATATTTCAACATTTCCTGACAATGAAAAGAAGAAGGATGATTAGTAATGTGGTTCTTGCCATTATGATGCATCATTCTGATTGAATGTTAATCTTGATCAATATGGCATCTGGAGTCCACACTGCCATTTCCAGTCTGGTCCAGTCTTGAGCCTGATTTTACTTACTCTGAGCAGTAGTTGGTACTTGGTGATCCTTTGGACTGGTTTGAGTAAGTATGCACTAAGAGGGAGTTTATGACCCAGCAATCTTTGGCACTCCTGTAAACAACAAACAACAATAGCATTTCATGTCTAGGGTAATGTTTATTTGCATCCAACATGGTCTTCAGTAAATATGTCTTTCCAACCAGGAAAGTTTTTTCATATAACTGATATGAACAATAGCTCAAGAGCATAAAAGAGAGCAAGATTTTCTGAGACACTCCTTTGAAATTCATCCACACCTGTTGAATATTAAATATAAAACTCTAAAGGGCGATTTGTGGGAAAATCACAGTGCACTCTCTACTTTTAGACTTACCTGAAAAAAAGGATTGTTATTTCCACATTCTCGTCTTAGAATCTCTGACCGCGGTTTGTTTTGACAGTACGTGCTGTATAAACTATCTAATTCCCCTTTCTGTGGGAAAGCAAATGGACACAGGAAATGAAAGTAAAGATACATGTATGCAGTTCAAACGACACATCACAATGAAATGTCAGCTGAATAAACAATTCCATTTATTGACTTGAATTTCTGCTGTCTTGTCAGCCATCTTGAAACAATGTGACAGAATTTATCAAGTGGAAGACACAGAATTAACCGAATACTTCATGTGACATTTTAACTGAAGCATCAACATAGTCATCATACAAATACATACAAATGGCAATTTTCCACACAAAGTCTAAATAAGCAGCAGTTTACCCTTTTGACAAAGCATTTGCCGATTAGCGTTGGTGTTTTGATGTAGCTTTCAAGCTCAACAAGGAATATGCTGGGGAGTAAATCAAAATATGAAAGATTCATGTCCTTGCAAAAAATTGCAGTAACCATCAGCATTAATACTTTTACAATTTTTTACTGAATATTATTTTTTTTCCAGTCCAGAAAAACAATAAAGACAAACCATTAAACAGCAGCATCAACAGTGTGTATCTGTAATGAAAAGTAATCTTACCTGCTGTGAAATTTGTAGATGTCGGCCCAATTTGAGAAGAGAATTTCTTGATTTCCTTGTAATGCCTCTGGAATGAAAGGCATAAGGTCTGGATTGTCCATCTCCTGGATGTAGCCTCGTAGGACTGCATGTAATTCATTGACATACATCTTCTCTGTTTCAATTAATTCCTTGATCACATGTCTGGAGAAAAAAAGAAATTCTGTAATTCATCACAACAAATCCACCTGATTGCTAGTCTAGGAGTCCCTTTCTTCTTTTTGTTGACATTTTACATACCTTCTCTTTGCAGACAGTGAGTTTGAATCCCCATTATCTGTGTTGATAACAATGCCAAGATCTGGGCTGTCCCCTCGCAAGATCTCAATCTTTTTATCAGTCTGTAAATAAGCAAAAAAATCCTTCTGAGAACCTTTCACCTAAATACTTTATTTGTTTAAACAATGAAATGGCAGCAAATGCAGTGCAAAAGCATGTGAAGCACTCAAACATTTTTTGATCCAGTTTTTCCATGATTGATGAAGGCTTCAGCAAAAGCAATGCTGGCAGTAGAGCTATTAAGCCTGAAGAGACCATGTGAAAGGATATAACAATATTTGTTTACAAAGGCAAGAATCAAGGTAGGACCCAAGGCAGTTCCCATAGCCCATCAACCCAGGTGGGATTGGAACCAGGAACAAAACTGTAAGAAATCAACGAAATGTTTGACTATAACCAGAATAAGCTGAAGTTAACATTGCTCTTCATACGCAAATCACATTTGAATGACCTAAGCACCATTCAGCTTACAACAATCTGATGTCTCAGAGAGGAAGGGAACAGGAAATACTGGGGAACCAGTGATAACTCCAGGAAAAAAGGTCACCAAGATCACAAACTAGAACTATGCAACTGTTGTTTTTTGGCAGACGGATCTTACTAGGCCTTTTTAGGTGTTTAACCAAGGACCTCTGATGTCTCTTGCTGTAGAAATATGAGATCACCTGCACAAAGGGGGGAGGGGGGAAGGATGGTGGAGGGACTTAGCTCAATCCACAATTAACATATCACCCAATGATATAAAAAACGTGGACTACCTGTACATCCTACCATTTATTAGACCTTCCTGAGTTGCTTTCATTAGTTACGTGTACATGTAGTTTAAGCATGATGCACATTAAGCAAATGAAGAAATGTGATATGTAAAACAGTGCTTTGTATAGTATGCTTGCAAAAGCAGGTGTATTCATCACTGGAGGCGGCACCAAGACTACATGTACCCCCCCCAATCTCATGACACACTGCAAATAATGCAAGGTTGAAGCATGACTAATGCAAATGTTGCAATGTACATGTATGCTTTACTTTTGAAATTGAAGTACTTGTCGTATTACCTTTTTGCATATAAAGTTCCACTTTCAATAACAAAGAGATGGTTATGTTTATGCATCTGTACATTAGCATGGCTCATGCAGGTGTGCATGGCTCATGCAGGTGTACATGTACCAACCAGTATACATGTAGGTAGCTGAGAACCTGATCAATACTAACAGAAACAAAAACTACATGAGGTTCAAACACTATTTTTTGGGTCATACCCAGATACATTTATAATCCTTCCTCAAATAACAATATCTACATATACATGTACTCGTAGGTACACATACATGTAAGATACATGTATATGTAATCTGTCATTATTTTTGTAACTTTAGCTAAAATACATTATGTGCATGCCTCGTTGTAGTAATGATCATGTTTAATTTTTTTTCAATTAAATAAACTTCACATCTGGAGTGTTTGTTGAAAACTACTGCATAAGATATCAATCAAAGTTTTACATGAAAAATATTTGCAAAAAGTTCATAAACAGAAACCTACAGTATCTAAACTGTAGTTATTCATATATTTCTTCAATGCTTACTAAAACATTAATTATTTCCTGATTGGGCAATGATGGATAATTCAAAAGTCTGCATTACAATAGTGATGTACATAAACATAAACATCAAATACATAAACTTGCCTCTGGGAAGCATATTTATTTAAATAAGATGCTGTTTTGATGCTTTGCTTTGAAGCTCAACATGCTTCAAACATTCAGAAAAATGTACATTCCCCTGGCTGTCACATGTATATTTTGCCAGCTATTTTTGCCATTTATTGCATTCACTGAACACATACCGGTATTTCAATTTTGGTTTTTGTCAAATATGTGCTTGTTACGAAAGGAAACTTCTCTTAAAGCATATTGCATTAATAATAAGTAAGCATTTATAAGAAAATAAACATGTGCTTGGCTGGTCTTAAATGTGTGTTTAAGGCTCAGGAGAATGCACGTGACTAACGCTCAAGCCACAGGCGAGGGCATTATCAGCGTTCAGTCTTTTGAGCCGGCCAACCACATATTTACATGTATTCCCATTCACAAATACCTTGTTAGGTCAGAGAGTCAAAGGAAGGCAATATATAATGATGGATTTCCAACAAATTTGTTCTAGAATTTTACGTTCATTTTCCCGAACACCCCTGTCCATTTTATGGTACATTCTGTGAGCATGTTGTTCAAAAGAATCTTTTTATATGGATTTGGTGCATGCATGGCGAGCCACATGTACAGACTCTTGGCCAATCAGAAGTGATTAAACTGTCTTGTATCCAGGCGCCAGTGTGTGATTTGTGCAGTGGGCATTATCAAGTGTTAATACACAGTTACATGATGCATTTCGACCAATACGAACAGAAAAACTGTCTCAGCATGAACTTTAAGTACATGTACATGTAACATAAAAGGCTCGATATTTAAACACATTTTAGTGCTACAAAGAAAAATTGGTGCAAAAATAAAGTCCAACTTAAAAAATAAAAGGGTTTTGGGACAAGTAAGACAGCAAACAAATAAACTTTATAAAACTAGAGAGCAGTGTAGACAAATAAAACTGTTACACCATTAGTCATGCCGAGTCATGCAGACAGTGTGAATTAGCCCGGTGCAAACCCACTGGAAAGAGAACAGCAACTTAAGGGTGCTATTCCTGGTCAGACTCCTATGTACGGAATATACAGAAACAGAAAAAGGATAGCCAAGAATGAGACTAGTACCACAGATATAAGCCTACCAGTGCTACACATTGAACCGCAAAAGAGCATTGCCTTTGGCACTATACAATGTACATGATGGAAACTTTGGCCAATTAATTTTAGAACGCTGGTATTGTTTGTCTCATGTACAGAATTACAAGCAAAAGCCTGCATTTTATGTTTTTTGTTTGCAGTTTTTTCACTGACTCTCTGAACAAAAAACCTGAATTCGAAGCCATCTTCAGAGATTTGTTGTACGTGATCCTTGTGCCATTTTTAATAAAGAAATCGTTGTTCGGAAGACACAACTAATCACAAGTTTGAAATGTTGCCTGCCACATTTTGTTTCAAATAGGTACAGCAAGTGTTAATACTTGTACATGTAGGTATACATGTATGCAACGCATTCTAATGTTGCACACTCCCAACTGGAAGGAAATTGTTATGGTGTGCTTCAATTGATAACAAACTTGAACTAGATCTGTTCATGTCAACTTTATTATTAAGTGATTGCCACAGTAAAGCTGTTGCCATGACTCTGCATGCATGTACATGTATGTGGCTCTTTATAGAGAAGACAGCACCAAATGAATACCAAATGATCCACGCAATGACAAATCTGATTATACATGTACCTGGTGAGGCATTGGCACATACAGCTGATGTGACGGGAACAACTGGGGGGTCTTCAGGAGAAGGTCAGTAAAACAAAATGACACAATGAACAATAGCAATCAATAAACAAAAACTATTGCAATCAATAAACAAAAACAGTAAAAGAAATAAAGACAGGCTTGAGTGGAAAATAACATAGAAGCTAGAGAATTATTGCAACATGCTCTTAGTTGTTAGTGAGCTTTATGTTTGGAAGTCCACTTCCAAATGTAATCACCTTTAGTAAGGATGCATCATTGCAACGATTTACATGTTTAGTAAGTTTGAGTATACGCCAACTGACTTTGACGAAAGACCAGTAACTTGACATGTTAGTTGAGAAACAGTGATGCTACAGTAACCTGCTCAGTTACTGCTGGGTATAAAATAAAGTATTGCTAGGCAGGATACACCAAATATCAGACAAGTGGCAACAGCAATTAGTCAGTATATCTCTGCACATTGAACAAACGGAAACCAATCAGTTATATTACCTCAGTGTGCACCAATGGACAAGTCAAACAAGGAAACAAATGTCTGTGTGTAAACAGGTCACAAAAAATGGTTGACACTGATTGCTCATGATAAAGTACATTCAACTGGATGAATTTTTCTTCTTTTTTTACCCCAAAAAATAATTTGCAGTAAGTGAATCTGTGGCTCAAGGTGGTATACATGTATGTAATAAATAAACTAACAGTGTAAACAAGTCAGAATATTTGTACATTATAAGGTAACGTTCATTTGTACAGTATTCTATGATTTTGACAACATGTTTCTCCCTCCTCAATGGCATCCTCCTTTCCATGCTGTTGTTGATCTTATACGGTAGGGCATACTTGGCTGAAAAAGAATTGCTTTACGTAAAAACACCTTGAAACATTAATAATGTCTCACGAAGTAAACTTTACTTTCACAAATTGTCACATGGATGCTTTCCTCATTTTTCTTAAGTTACCAACATGTACAATAACAAGACTCACATGATCTTCAAAGTCAGTCAAATTCCCCCTCAACTCTCCTGGCATATTTCGTCTCCAAGATAATTTGCGAATCATGATTAAACCTGTTCCTACAACCATGACGGCCGTCCATGACCAGAAAAAAAATCACACACTGCTAACCTCTGGCTCCTTCACAACAGTTTAACCATCGCCGAACATAAACCATAAAATCATCACTAGCATGTGCATCCTCATTCTACTTTCACTGAGTGACCTCAGCTTGACTTTTCATTATCCTACTATTTATCATCCCTGTCTCTGATTGGCTGACTTTGACCTTCCAGGGTAACTATAATTGACAGTTTCCTTGCCTCTAATTAGCACTGTATCACTCCAGTGATTTGATTGGCTCCTCTTTGACCTCTTTAATGCATTGTTAATCACTAACAACCTACATGTATGTACCGCTAATCTGGCACTTTGTTTTTCCAGTAGCTTGTTTTTCCAGTAAATGGGCAGCATGTTCTGGAAGTTTATAACATTTATTGACTGGACTGGTACACAGATTTCATATTTCATATGTGCTTATCTGATTCACGTCCAAGGTGGAGAATGGGAGAACTCAGTAAATTGAGTAGCATGAGATTAGTAACAGAGCACTTGGATTTCTAGTTTCAACTATAGATTAAACCGAATTTTCAAACATAATGGGAAAGCCACAAAGACAATAGTCCATGTATGCATGGAAAGACTGAGTGGCTATGAATAAATAAAACGGTAAGTCAAAAGCAAATGGTCAAGTCACAGCCAGAAACAACTGTGGCTAAATTAAGGCTGGATTACCTCATCAATCACATTGAAATGACACAGGCAGCTTGAGATAGACATGGCTGACCATGCTGTGCCTATTTGCATGTGACGATGAATATATACTGGCTCTGTGCCACGATATTGTACTCGCTCTCCACCACATTACTGAAATCAAACTGGACTTGGAAATATGTATCATTGTTGACGAACACTGAAAAAACTGAGTTAGTAAAATAAGATAAAACTGAGGAAGTTTGATAAATAAGTTCCCAAGCAGCCTCACAGCAAGAATACATGTATGTGTATGCGTGGCATACATAGTGTGGGCCTCTCCAAAAAAAGAAGTCCAAATAATGTTTCCCCTCTTTGAAAAACAGCTTCAGAGACATTTTGGGGTCAGGGTTATCGTGGCAGAATGAAGAGAGAAAGTCCAGGAAATCATCATACAATATCCAGCTCAAAGGAGTTATCCTAGTGGGAGAAAAAGGAGCGTTTTCCTCAAGTTACCTTAACCACAGGAGAACAAAGGAATGTCCACACTTTGTATGTGAAACAAGTACGTGTGCACTTGTATGTCTGATAATGTAACCACCGGTTAGTGTAAAACCACTGCATTAAAGGATTAAGTTCTGCTATGGATAAAAAGAATTGAACAATTACCCTCTTTTTAGTGTGTCTTTTGGAGCCAACAACAAACTTGAAAAAAAAAACGTAAATATGAGACAACAACGAAATCCATACAATGACCAACAATACTGGTGGTACTCACCTTTGCACTGTAACCTTTCACTTTCTTATTCTTTGGTTTACGAGTTTCATTAGGAGACCCGTTAGCAGATGGTCCTGGGGAACGTGACCTTGGTGAGGCAGGTACTGGGGTTGCTAGCACAACTTGGACTGGTCTTTCACATTTAGCAATGACCTTCTGTAGAGACTCCTGTCGTTTCTCAAACATCATCTTTACGTCCTCCATCTTGGTGACAGCTTCGTGGACAACAGCCTGACAATAGCAATAACCAATCAGAACTGGTTTTACTTACTGATGGACCAATCGGCAATTATGTTAGTCACCAACTGACCAATCTGCACTTAAGTTAGGCAATACCAGGCATACCACATGAGCAATCATAACACATTCCAACTACCAATCTGCCATTGAAAATGTATAAATATGGGTAAATTGTTACCGTGGTTACGGGCATGAAAATAACTGATGGCTAAGAATACTTCATTAAAACAAACTACTCATGCCAATCTTTCTTGATGACAGATTTTATTTAAAGACAGTTCTGTCTTTTGATGAAGTCTCCCAAACAATTGTGTGCAGGTATAACACTTAACATTACTTCATACATCATTTGGCAAAGTGTAATCTGAGTTACATGTACATGACCTCTGCTATAGAAAATACCAAGACACACCAAAACCATAAATCTCATAATTCCTTACATTCCATCAACCATCATCCTGACAGCTGAGCTTACATGCCAGGAAATATTGCAAAATGTCCCATTGGAAATCCCCTTTCAAGAACAAACAGTCAGCAAGTTCCTCTACAGTTGCATACAAATGGTCAGTTCTATCTATAGACACAATTGAACATAAATTTCACTAAAACAGTTTCTTAATCCTAGATGTAAATATTGTCTATATTAGTAATGGCTCAATAAAAAACACTTATGCTTTCTGAATGGTATTTTTCCCTACTGAAGACACATAGTATTTCCATAATATTTCTTTTCTTTGCCAGCTTGGGCAAAGAAAACTAAGCAAGCTGTTATTTCTTCTTTGAAACGGAAATTGGAGAAAAATTTGATTTCAACTTTTAAAACAAAATATTTTGTCTTTTATGGAGTTAGCATTAGCAAAATTACATGACAAATCAAATGGTTAGGGTGAAATACATGTAGGTTTAAGCCCTCCAAAAGAGCTGCAAAAGGAACGAAAATCTGGAGACCAAAATCTATCAAATTACACAAGTTCCATGAGCATTACCCGAATTCAATGAAGGTCTGCTGATAATGAGCTTGGATGATAAAGTGGGAAAGTTAATTTACATACATTCCAAGGAATGGTTGGTGCCATGGTCCAATTGCTCTGGTTGAAAATGTCAGTGTGCCATTCGCACTTTGAAATTTTGCTCGTGTGTACAAGATTTGAGTCAATTTTTTTCTGCCTCAATTAATGTACGTGTGTATATAATCCTGGTCCAAATCTGAGATGGTTTGCACCCAAGTTGGTGTCAATCTTACATACTCTTTTCCATGTACGTTTTTAGGGTGCATTGCGTACATGATGCGTTCATGCATTTCACTTTCACGGACACAAATGTTGACTGCATTATCATAACACGTGTGCATTGCTTTCGGCCGTCAAAATCACCTCGGGAGTGATTCTGACAGATATGCAATGCTTGGTGCAAGTGTTGACATGCATATGGAAAGGCACCTTCATGTGAACTGTACTGGAATCACCGGTTGGAGCTATGAGCAGTGGCACACATGCATAATGGCAGAAACTGTTTGGGGAATTCATCTGGCCATTAACGGGAAGTGCCTCAGGAGGGGATAGTTGCTTTATTTTATGTAGGAAGATTATGGACGGGGTCGGAAATGGGGTCCTTTTGGGTCTAGTGAGGGGACGGTTATACTAGTAAGGAGGAGAAAAGGTCAGTCAGATTTGTGGATAAATTGAGGAAGTTAAGTACTGGCAACAACTAGGGAAACAAATGACCAACTCTTAGGGTAAATGGGCTCAATGTTTACATTGTCAGTAATTGTTTCAAGAAAGATGGGCCTCCAATGTTATTCTGATATGAACTACGTGTAAAGAGAGCAAAGTGATAATTACTTGATGGTTTAGCTCCTATAAAACCTCACTGTCCACTCAACCATTTTTCTGCTTTAATAATCTTACAACTTGACAAATTGAAAATGAGAACCTACAGTCAACCATTTTTAATACAAAAATATCCATATGTTTTACATTGCTCCTTATTAATTCTTCTACTTTACTTCACCATTCATCAGAACACTCGTTAAGCTGTAAATTAATGTTCATGTAGTTGAAGTAGCCACTCACCTCTACATGCAATTCAACGTGGCCTGATACTTGCCATTTGCATTCAAGATGCAATTCCCAACTTCATCTGCACTAATTCATACAGCACATTTATACATGTACTGGGTACGTGACCAGAAACATTGCACACACAAGTGAAGTACTGGCATCTGTCCTATTCAAACATGCACTTCATTCTAAAATTCTGCCGATTTTAATTCCCACATCAGAGAACCGTATCGCCATTGTGTGTGCACAGAATGAGCAATGGGATCTCCCAAGTTTAACCAATACAGGAAGCAAATCTGCCTGGCTCAATTTTTGCGGTTCGGTGGTTTTAAAAAGAGATGTATTGAGTTCTTAAAAATAGCAAAATAATATCTCTGCTTTGAAAGATTACTGGCTAGAGTTTTATCAATTGTTAAAATTTCAAATGTTGTAACATAAATTACAACTCAAATTTGTGTAGTGTCCTTCATACCGCCTGGAAGTAGTTTGTACATCATGTCATCTCAAAAAAGACCACTCAGTAAATGTTAGCAGATGAAATATCAATATACATGTAGTAAAATGTGAATCTACACAAACATTTGAAGTATTACTGTCCAGAAAACACAAATAAAGGAGCACTGAACAATGCACATGTACCGGTCCGGTACATGTATGTTCTTTGAAGTAGAGATACACTGTAACAACAAAAATAATGCAAATACATTTTTCACATTTTCTACATCTGAGTTGGACTGTTAACACGGTTAAAGGTGCAGTCCATCATTTGTGCACTATGTTTGTTTGGGGCAACAAAAATGCTCGAAATCTACATGAGGGTGCTTTGCAACTAACATTAAAAGAAAGTTTAAAAGCTCATTGATTGCTGTACATTCTGAAACAAAATTCTGGGTTCTCAATTTCAAATCAAGACTTGTAGAGTCATGTTTGAAATAATTCAGTGTCTGGGACACGCCTTAATGGACATGCCCTAATTGAACCAATTTGCAGCTTCACTATGGGGGATGTTGCATACAATTAACTAATCAATTACAGCAACTACTTACATGCATGCATTGTGCCAATGCTTGTACGTGCTCGGCCAAGTTAAAAAAATACTAAAAGCAATTTCCCAAAATGTGTCTTTGGATATATTGTCGTAAATAGTCTTCTTTCATTGCTTTCCTAAAAATGACACCTTCCCTGAAAAAATATTCCACAGGGAGCTTATATGTAGTCACAACTAGTTATGGATAGCTGCAAATAAGGGAATGTACCTTTAATATATGTAATTCGGGGCAAAAAAACAGACATAATTCAATGAAGGGCAACTGATGTTACTTTGCACGTAGGCAGCAAAATACCAACATTGCAATTTCACAAAATTTATCAAAAAACCAGCTAAAAGAGAAGGAAAGGTAAAGCAAAGCCAAAACATTGTTTTCTATTACAAGTAGAAAAAACATAAGGGTAAGTTGTGGGTAAAAGGGATGGGATGTTAGTATCATTAACCAACTTACATGTAGCATTAGGGAAAAGAAAGGGGTGTGAGTCTAAGCTCTGGGAACAGAGGCAAACATGGTGGCCCTGAAGAGACATCCTAAACTGCAAATATCTAGGTAAACATTTGCGATAATGCAAATACTGTCACACACTTTGATGCATGGTTTGTTCATTTTACCAGACTATTCTTTAACCCCTTGACACCAGGATTTTTTTTACTGCAACTGTATGCAAAGCCTTTGTCCAGCAGCAGGCCCACATTGAAACTGCAAGTGCATGATGAATAGAATGTAAGTGTGGCATGCACTAATCCTCACACAAAGCCGAGGCTGTCACTGTCTACCAGCGTTAAGGGGTTAAGAAACTACAGGTATGTAGTACAAAACTGCTGCAAACTGCTTCAAACTTTGAGAAATGAGGGGCTTTTAAATATGTCTGAATTTCAGCCTTCATTTTGTTAACATCATAACGAAGGTATACCCAAAATGTATGTACATAGTCTTTGCACTTCATTTACATGTGCGCATAGCAAACACAACCGACGCACTCTCTCTTATGTAAATCTTGATGAAATGAAGGATGGAACTCAAACATGCAAAAGACCCTTTAGCTTCTTGAAAAATAACATGGTAACTAATATGCAAACTCTGCAACAAAGTATGCAACAAATCATGTGGCAAAATTTTACAAATATTTGCAGAGATATTTGGGATAAAATATATTTGCAAATATTTGCAAAGATGTTTGCAATGTTTAATGCCCCTTTAGGACCACCATACAAAAACCCAGGGCCAAAAGTAAAGGTTATTAACCAAGATCATCAAGATTTCATCACCATGCAAGAAATATGCCTTTTTGAAGTTTGCCAACTACCAGTAGAGGGAGCATAACAAGACTGTCAACATGTTCAATAATAGAAATAAGGTGTAGCTGGACTGATAATGACCTGTATCAATTATTTCTGCACCAAATTTAAATGCAAAGACAAGTGGTAAGTAGATAGTGCCAATCTTGCCCTGCTTATCATGACTCTCTTGGCAATCAAGCTCCAGTGTTAGCTGGCAAAACTTCAAAAAAGTTTGTTTCATTCCAAATGCATTTTGAAAAGAACTGACACGGTAAATGTTTATGCCTACCAACCTCGTAATCAGGCTCCTGGTAGGAACACAACAAACAAGGCAAAATGTGTCAACAACAACATCAACAACAACCATGCAGAAAATGTACTCATCAACGACAACCGATATCAAAGAAAGAACAAGAAGGTCTTGAAAGAAACTACAAGAACATCCCAAAAACCCTGTGGGCATAATATCTGATGAAGCAACTGAAATCTTTACAGAAACATTAATTCATAATATGATGACCAATACAAGGAAACCAGCCACTGTATTTTACATCAATCCAAAAATCCATTCCCCACATCTGTTGGCAGCAGTGCAACCTTTATGACATTTCATCTTTTTCATCTTGAACTTTCTTCCACAAATTTCTCAAGATCATTTCAAATTTGGGACATTTTAACTCATACCATTGATGGAAGTGGTAGTGCATAACTATTCATTTTACTCTGCAAATAACCATGCACGTGGCTATGGAAAAGTGCTTTACCAAATTGGGCAAACAAAATAGTATTGAAAGACCAGTATATTGTAGCATTTGAGCATTTGACGTGGCTGTCGCAATACAAATCACATATCCTATTATGGCCCCAAAATGACTATTTGCTTACCTTGCTTTCAGAAGTGAGTATATCAGAAAACATGGAGCGGAATTCCTTTGGGTCGCTGAGTTTCAGTTGACTGGCCCCCTTAAGGCAGATCTGTATCGCCTGTAAGTACTGCTCAGCACCCTCTTTTGATTGACATTTGTCCATTTCTTGTGAAGCCAGTAGTTTCATGCCTTCAGCACACCACATCTGGGCCTAGAGGTAATCACATTGATAACACTGATATCAGCCTTTGCTGCCTTTTTTTTTGGTAAAAGCAACTGGAAACTGTAAAGAATAAAAAAAAATGAGTTAACCTGAGGTCAAAGGTCTACTGTTTACTTACTTTGTCAATTCTTTCATGAAGCTCTAGTGATCGATTCAATTGTACGCTTCTACTCTCAAGCCTTTCCATTAATTCCTCTCTCTGTCGTTTCAATTCTACACACTTTGGTTGAATACTGTCCACTCCATACTGGTCCTCTTCTAGCAATTCCATCCCAATATCGTGGATGTTCTTCGCATTCTCCAAGGAAGCCTACCAATGGGATAAATGCAAGTCTTTGTTTTAACTACAGCATTGGATGATTGGAGGAGGACTCAAGCTGGTATTAGTGCCTAAGATTGAACTAGCAGATAACATCTACCACTTTACCAAAGCCTACCTGATTGCTGTCTGTAAATTCTTGGTGAGATTTGATGAGACTTTCTACTTGATGTGTAGAGCTTCCTCGATCTGTTGCCACAGCAAGCTTCTCAGACATGTTCTCAAGTAATACTACGGCCTGTAGACAAGCAAGAATGTGCAAGTACAAACCAAATGTATCAACTTTACAAAAGCCTGAAAACTTGACTGAGGTAAATTTTAAAAACAGTTCTACAGTGGAGAGAGCAATATTTCTGAACACTTATGAGCCATTAAAAAAAAAAGTTGATATGAATCCTACCTCCTTGAAGTCTTCTTCAAACTTCCTGAGTTTTAGGCATTGTATTAATTTATTTTCATGCTCTACCCAAAACTCCTCAAACTTCTCTTCTGTCTCTTCCATCTGAACAAGGAGCCTAAAAAAACATACATGTGAAAGTTATCACTTACTCGTCCAAATCCAACAACTTCAAATGAAGAGAAGGAAATTTCTGTTGGAATTTATTGGATACATGCAAACAAGCTTCAGTTTTGTTAGTACTGGATTCTATTGAATTAAACTTTACTATACGTTTCTTGAACTATATTGGATTCTGAGGGCTAAAGAAAAAATCTGAGATCAGATTTACAAATGAAACAAAATATTTCTGTCAAATTTTTATCCAGTGTCTGTCAAAGATACATCAATAAAAGGCTCTGGGGATAAAGTATCTCACATACATTTGTAACATTTAAAACCCTTTTGTGATGATCCATAGAACTTCTAGAAAGTTACCTTTCTATTCCACACAATGTTGCCACTTTATGGGGGTTCTGTTCAGGGTTTTCATCCAACGGTCTGCGCATGCATCGTAGCAATGTTTGACCATACTTCATGGCACTTTGTAAGTCATCTTTTAGCTCCATGCGTTTCTTACGATGATCCATCAATAGCGTGTTAGCTCCTTCCAAATCATTAGGCAACTCTGTATGAGTGAATTCATCTGTCAAGATCTGGACAGCCGTTGAACGCTCGCGACAGTTACTAGCAAATCGTTCAATTGCCTAGAAATCAAGGAGAGCAAGGTTAATGTTTCAAAATGCTTGCCATTTACAATATGATCAAACAGAGTTTATGATCAAACTCAAAACTGAAATGAACTTTGCATAAAATGGAAGAGAGCATATCTGCTCCAGTACCATCAAAAGACTGAATATGCTAGTATGAATGCATAAATCAACATAAAGAATATGGAAGTTTGAAAACAAAACAATTGCCCCTTTTCCTCTATTTGAAGTAACATCAAGCATATTCCTACATCAACCAATTGGTTCACAGGTTTTGACTTTGATTCCAAGTCCAACAAATCATTGCCATCCAGTTCAGTTGGCTACCATTCTTTGATAAAGCGAAGTTGCCCTGACCTAAAGTTGAACATTTCATTTTGCTGGCAGATAATTCAGAAACGACACTGAGTTACATGTATGAGTATCGCTTCCAAGAGTGTGCTGTGCATTACCCTTGCACTTTGGGATCAACAAGGATACAGGAGAACACCTTATTTCTTTCTGTCGACAGCAAAGGCAAATTGATTTAGACATCTCATAATGCAGACAAATTAGCTTGGCATACACAGATGCTGACTGTTTGTCTTTGAGAAATACAAGAGCATTAAATGCATCAATGCCTGTGCTTGGCCTGTTGCCAAAACGGATTTTAAGTGACGTATCCTGTTGTCTAGACTTGAAAGGTCCTTCGGCATAACAAAATTTCTCTGAAGATTATTATTTTGAGTAGCCCCATTTCTTTAAGTTTCTATAAAATTAACAATATTTTAATGCTTGGACGGTTACACAAAAGAAACGTTGAAGTTTTCATTCTTCTAAAAAAAAAAACATAGAAAATCATCTAAAATAAAATGAATCAGAACTCTCCTCTTTGCAATAAATGTCTTAGACTAGCCAGAAATCTGAGCACCGTAATTTATTGGGTCCAAACCTCTTGCCAATAAAATGGTTATTTGTTAATCCAAAGTTATCAATCATTCAAGCCCAAATATCCTGTCCAACCATTCAAGAAACTTTATGAGGTCATGGTTCAGAGGTCATGGGTTCAAACATGAATAGTCCTGATCCATATGATCATGACTATCAGGTTGGATTTCCTCTCTAATTTCCTGTACCACACCTTCTTTGCCATACTCTTCAGGTGCACTGTCTTCATTTTCATATTTTATATGAAAGCAAGTACATGTATGCTTGTGATTTCCTTGACCTCACTACAGGTGCTTGACATGACCTACATGTACAACAGACACACAACCAGCCAACCAACATGCACAGATAACTTGCATGCTCTTATGCTTGTAAATTTGTGTGTTTGTGAGTAAAGATTTTACAGTAAGTTTGATGCTGGGTTTCTTGGAAGCTAATCACTCTATGGTTTCCCTTTTGGGGGTCATATTTAAGTGAATTAAATACGAAATGCTACATCTACTGGCTGAGTCAGTCAGACCAGTCATACCAGTTACTTCATAGCATTTAGTTTCAATTTTTCCCAAAGTTTAGGAGGGCTACACATTGGTTCTTTTGTGGAAGTTTCAGCACTAAACATGTACATAGCTGAAAGAACTTCCGTCAGAATTGATAATCACATTTGGATAAACCTTTATTTCAGTAAGAGCCATCTACTGTACATGCACATGTAGAAACTAAATTGGGTTTTGCAAAGAAGACCAAAAGTACACGTACAATAGCTGCAGCAACAGAGTGAACTCGTCAAAAACAGTTTTCAAAAATCATTGAAACATTTTGGCAGACAAACAGTAAAGCAACATAGAGAATGATGGACAATGTATACATGTACCTTCTTACACATTACGTATACTGCACTGGTACATGTACGTGTTATACATACACATATATACATCAGCTATAAGTTGCTGGTGATATATGGCGTACATGTATATGAAGCAATTCTTGTGTCTGGCTCAGTAACTACAGAAGCACTCTCCAGTGTAGGATTGAATCCTGTTTCCTTCTGCCTCTATGACTCAGCCTTTGCTATTTCCATCGTTGAGGAAATCTCCAGGCAATTTATGCTGGGCTTACATTCAGATCTCCTATCATGCTACAGTTTGACCAAAGCTAACCTCAACTTTACAATAAGGAAATGTAAAAACAAGTGATCAAAACAGAGAATGAAAAATCAAGAATTAAAGGGTAGCTGCAGCAAGCCAATTGCACCCAGAGAATTAGAGGGTAGCTGCAGCAAGCCAAATGCACCCAGAGCATTAGAGGGCAGCTGCAGCAAGCCAAATGCACCCAGAGAATTAGAGGGCAGCTGCAGCAAGCCAAATGCACCCAGAGAATTAGAGGGCAGCTGCAGCAAGCCAATTGCACCCAGAGAATTAGAGGGCAGCTGCAGCAAGCCAATTGCACCCAGAGAATTAGAGGGCAGCTGCAGCAAGCCAATTGCACCCAGAGCATTAGAGGGTGGCTGCAGCAAGCCAAATGCACCCAGGAAAAGAGTCATCAACCAAAAACAACATTTTTTAGTTTGTCAAAATGTAAACAGTATTTTTCTCTGATATAACATCTTTCACAAATCCCTTTATATTATTGACAAAACACCTTTTCTCAACTCACAATCCATGGCCAACTAACTGCCAAGACAAAAATTCTGCTACTGAAATTTGGCTGCTCTGTAAAATGATACAAACTGAGCACCTGCAAACCTGTACATATTTGTTAATAGATTTAAGCACACCATTATCAATACCACTACCCATCCCCCCTTCAAACGTAACTTGTAAAATGTTTGCTTTTACTCACCATTCTGTCTTCAATCCAGGACGTCAAGTCAAAGCATAAAGTCCCTTCAAATTCGTTGGTAAGTTGAGATGGATGGATCAGAGCATGAAGATCCTTCACTGAGTCCAGCAAGATGACCTGACAATATTCCCATTCAGAAAAGTCAAGCTCAAGTTCAATAACACTCCAGAAAAACTGCTTTCAAGGTCACATACGTGCATTTGTACATACAGCCAAGTCATAAGAGTCTTTATGAAGTTACATGGAAAAAAATCCAAACACAAAACGGGCGTTCATTTCAGGACCTTCTCCATAATAAGGCAGGAAGTCCATTTAATAAAGCGACTCAATAGGGCTGCTGCTGTTTCATGAGTGGGTTGTCGATGGATTATAAAAATAGGGGGGCCCTCACCGACATGAGTCATCTCAGACGGAATGATTGCCAACAATTTTAGCAGGGTGAAAAGTGGATATCGTTCAAAAGGTTAAGTCAGTGACAGAATGTAGTGAGTGAGAACTAAAATTATCACTGTCAGACATTACATCGTGAAATGGTACAGAATGAGCTAAAAATCACTTTAAGTACATGTACTGTGCATACAGATGGATGGATGTTCTTATAGGTACCTATAATTTCCTAAAGGTAAAATGATTTTAAAACCATACTGACCAAAATGGAAAACTTGAGCAACTGTCAGCAGATTGTGTTGAAAACTGCTCACGCTTCATAACACATTTTATCTCAACCGAACGCTCACCTGAAATTTGTACTCCTCTTTGGAGAAACGAAAGCGGAAGTCTGAGAGTTTCTTCTGGAAGAAGCTCTTGGGTTTGATGACATACACACCCTGGATGATTCCAGGAAAATATCCCTGCTACAGGAAGGCCAAGGTAGAGATGATGGGCCCGTGAGAAATTGGAAAATGAGACCAGGAAGGATGGAACAAGTTGCCATGGTAACATAGCATGCAAGAGGAAGATGCTGGGGGAATATTAGGATGGGCAAAGGAAATGATTTAAGTGAGGAGGTCAGCAAGGCACATGACAGTCAAGATTTTTAGGTTGGGCAACAATCAAATTTGGTAGAAATGTTAGAGGAGGTTAAAGATTGGAATAAACATGCCAAAAGTGTGTCAGAGATGAAAAGGAAAGTGAAATGAGCAAGAAGAAATGGAAAGACATAAAATTTTCAGAATGATGGGAATGTGACAATGACGACAGAACACAAGACAGAAGAGTCAAGGAGAAAGTTTAGATAGGGCAAACGACGAGTTAAGGGTCGAAGAAGAGTCAGAGATGTGAGAGCAAGCAAATGAGGAAATACCAGGTACATGTAGGAATGAAGAAGACAGAGGTAGGGTCAAGACAAAGATAGTGTATGATTCCAATACAAACATGCAACAAGATATCACAAAACCACAACACATTGCAAGACAAAGTAGACACAAAGAAAAGAAGGTCAGGTGACAGGGTAAGGGAGAGAAAACAAAACAGAGCAAACCAAATTAACAATGAAAATTTACACATGCTAAAATGCACAGGTACTTAAATCACACTTTATACTAACATGCATCTTACAAACAGTACTGTACATGCTACTTGTTGAGTAAGAATCACAGTAGACTACACACAAAGGAGAAAAAGTTTTGCTTTTAACCTAGAGTTTAAGGAATATGCGCAAAAAGGTGTGTGCCATATCCCCAATAAGGGACAAAAGCACTGACTGGCAAGTTGGCTGCCATGCCAGTATCTTCTTTTATATCTGTGTGATTTAGTCCACCATGAAGAGGAAATAAGACAAATAAATAGGTACGTTTCTGTGTATTTAATATGTACATGTTCATATGGCACTTCTTGTGAGCAATTAAAACCACTTTAACTTAGGATTTACAAAAAAATGTCTCATATGCAACAAGATTGTGAAGCGTGTTGAATGCAAACATACAAAAATGGAATGCTCCAAATTGACTGATTTATCATTCACTTGGAGTACCGCACACTGCTTGACACTGGGATGATTCACAGAACAGTAGAAAGCTGAGAGTTTGGGATGGGTAAGCAGCTATGAAGTTTTAGGAATCATTCTGAAGTGAACAAACAACATCAAACAAAGGACAAGGACACGCATGTTTGTGTAAAGTACAGAGTATGCATACATGCATCATTGGGTTGTTTTATACAAGTCTACATTATACATGTATGTACATGTGCGTATGATGTGGTGTACTGGCAGGTACATGTACATGTATACTGTTATGGCCAAATTTTGACAGTCAACTCACCGCAATTCTGACAAGGGCTGATTTCACAGCATTCCATGATTCATTTCGTCTGTCTACCAGAATCACAAACCCCTTGTCCATATCCAGCATGCTACATGTACACCACAAAAAGGAATGACACATTCATTTACAACTTCTTTATACTACGGTTTCATTCTATAAGCTTGCAGCCACTTTAGGCAAAATAAAACCAAATGCAGTCTTCAACCTTTCTCGAATTCACACATACTTTTTAAATTCTGGTACTTTTTGTATTTGTATAGTGCAGTTTTTGATATCAGTACATGTATTTATCAAACAAGAGTTTTGGGTATTCAAAATACATGTGCAAGAAAAATAATTACCTTATTGGCAATTTACATGTACATTTGCTTCATATATACTGTAATTAACCAGATGGATGATTACTCACATTTTCCAGATGAGATATTTTTCAAAGGTTTTTAATTTAAATAAAGCAGCTTTGAAAAAGAGGCAAAAATAGTTTTTGATTATCAGACAGGCCCCTAAGAAAGGTTTTTCACATTTATATCCATGGTATCCAGCAGTCATCTGCGGTACTTGTTACTTTTCTTGTCGGTTTCTTCTTAATAATGCAGGGAATGTACCTTAAAATAATGTAATCAAGTCATTCAAAGGAAAGTCACTGTCAAAGAGGGAAACTCCAGTATTTACAGGTAGCAACTGACATGCGTAAAATAAATTCCTTGTGCATGTAAGTGAACAAGTTTAATAAGGACTGGCCTTTTGTTTGAAAAACAGAAAAAACAGTAATGTGGCATTGAGGGTACACATTAATGTGACAAAAAAGAAGTTTTGTCTGTGATGTAAGGAGGTGCCGGTATGTCAGAACAAGTGCAGCATTTGTTACAACCACCAATCTGACATTATTTGAAGTAGAAAAGACACTTTGTCAAGGAAAAAGTTTCTAAAATAAAGACAAATTAATGGGAATGGACATCAGGAGCAAAGAGGAAATTGGAAAGGCTTCTTGTCACCAATGATGACAACTACCAGCCACCAGATATGTCATCTTAAATTGAAAGGGTAGGATGTCAGTTAGGCAATCCAACAGCACCAGGGTAATATCCAAGGCATTTTCTCTTAATTATACACAAGAAAGGCATCTGTTATACTTAGAAACTCAAAAAGGATAATGTGCCAACTGAAAACAAAACCAACATCATACAAAACAAAATTAGAAATGAGATAACTGATTCTCACCTACCCATAGTACTTATTTATGATAAATCCTGAGCCAGAAATATATGGTCACATATATTGCTACATGTACATCTCACATTTAGAGGAAACTACCTTCCAAAAGCATTTGTATGAGTTTTAATCTACTGACAAAGAAACATTTTTACATTCAAGAATTCCCAATTAACCCACACTAGCAGTTAATGATGTCACTACATGCACCATTCCAATAACTGAAAGTTGCTGAATCACGCATTCGGAAGGAAAACAATTTCAACACCAATGTTGATTCCAATAAAACAAGCCAAACTTAACATTCTGTGCTGGAAGGCTTGCAAATTACAAAATGTATGCATGTTCATGGATTGCAACATATTGCATTTGCTCAAAAGCTTTTCCTATCAAGATTCACCAATAGAGGGCGCTATGCCTACTTTGCAATACAAACGAAATGAGTGCTTAGAATATCACTGCATGAAATGAATAGAAATGTTGAACCAAAAATTATGCCAATATACATGATATATACATGTACATGTCTGCACACATGTATGCTCAATGTATATGTACATATGCATGTACCAGTACATGTATATGTACGGGTACATGTACGTATGTAGGTGAAGTACGTGTAAATGAAACTTTTTTCCAGAATTAGGCAATCACAGCATCCATACCGTAATTCATGTTTAATTAAAAAAAGAAATTAGTACTTTATGTAAGTCTGCAAAGTGCATGGAAATGATTCACCATATGAATACGGTAGTGTCAATGGTACTGAGAATTTAAAGTCAGTGCAATGTACACAATGCATCAGGCATGTGGGAGATTACCTGGAGTGATTCAAGCCTTTAAAATAGCTGCATGTTACAAAACAACAGGGAAGAGAGAACAAGGTTAGTACATGCAAAGCATGGTGAGTTAACAGGTGGCCAAAGCTGGACAAACAATCAATGACAGTGATAAACCAAAGCTCCGCCTACCTCCTCTAAGCACCATAATCTACTGAGAATTGACCCAAGTCAACACGCCTCTCCTCTTAGGAGAACAAATTATCCAACCCTTATTTTAGCTCTGTAACTCCCCTCTTTGATTTTAATCAAATAATGGAATAGAGTTACTTTTCTTTTACTTTGTTTAACTTTTTATCTGAAGATATACAATTAATGTAATAAAATTTATCTTTAATAAAACATTCAGACCTCTGGCTGACTGTATAAATAAATTCCTAACATGACATTTTTTGATTCAGTAATCTTGGATTTTTTTTATCATTTCAAGTATTCAAATAATACTCACCTTGGTATCCTGATTATATAGGTTAGTAGACGGACAAATTCATCATCTGTCGTGATATCAAACTTTGGACATTCCGGCATTGTAATAATGGGAAAACCTTCATTTGTTTTGCCTCCTGAAAATAATAAAGCAAAAATAAATGACAGAAAACAAGTTAAGGCCAGGACTGAGATGACAGAAGTTCCATAATCCATCTATGAAACAAAGAACACCAGGAAATATAAAAACACCAATTCAAAAAAGAATGAATTCAACTTGCATTTTGTTAAAGGAACTTGCATAAAAAGAGCGGTGACAATTGCTCATGGCCAACATTAAAATAAACATTTGCACAACATTCAGTTGTGGGAATTCTCATGACATTCTATTCAAAAGGAAAAAGTCAAAATTCAAGGGGAACTGACTGATGAATAGCATTTAAAATCTCACCTTTGATGCTGAAATTAAACAAATTCATACTGCTCATAAATCACAGAATACTATTATCAGTATTGCTGTTTTGACACACATGTATCATAAGAGACTATGTACACGTACTGAAATACTGATACAATGCAGTGAATGTAAATTCAAACATGGAAATACACTAAACTTACACTCTTTGCATTTTTTTATTTAAAAATACTGTACATCTAGGAAATTTAGCCAGAGGCAATTTTTTTTCCATAGGCAAAATGGTTTCAGAAACATGTACACTTTACTGCACAAAAAAGAAAGATGAAGACTGACCCTTCTATTGGTACATGTACAATTAACCCTAACAGTCCTCAGTCTTCCGACAGGTGAAGGATTGAGGACAGTTAGGGTAATTCATGTGCACATCCTGAATATTTCTGTTGATATTTCAGTGTCCTGGCTTGTACTTATCTTTTCCTATGGGTAGTGCCTACACCCATAGGTACAGTGTGTAAGTTAGGTGTTTTAATCAATTCGACAAGGAAGGGCCCTCAGGAGAGGCTGAAGGGACAAATGGCATTCCTGGAGGATCATACATGTACATGTAATGAGTTAACAGATTTCCACAGAGCTAAACATGTGGAGTGTTATTTTGCCTGTAATTTCAAAATCCAGAACAAATGGATGCCTGTGCCAGTGAAATAAATCACCAAGCTTGTTTCTTCAATCACATGCACAGCTGTGACTGCACACCATAATCAATAAACCCTCCATACAACCATTAGCAATGCATGGTGTATAATTCCAAGACAGCAGAACATCACACATGTTGTACATATTCATTGATGATTTGCAATATCAGTGGTAAGTGTAGCTACGGTTGTGATACAGCAAATGTTGACATTTACCTGGATAATTTAAATATGAATAGTAGCTTCAGCTTACCCCAGTGGCTCAGCCAGCAGATATTCTCAATCCAATTGAGGAATTACACAGGCGATAATCAGCACCTGTTTGTCCTTTTTGTCAACCTACATGTAACTGTAAACAGCTGTAAACAATATATGTGAACAGACTGCAGTGAGAGACTACAGGTTCTATGCTGTATCATGCAGATACAACATAAAGAAGGCACTGGTTGTGAGAGATGTTGTGTTTCATGACATCACTGGGCTCTAATAACTATTCTGAATGACATTTCATAAAGCTATGTACATCTTGAGATGTACAATTCATTAACAAATCTATACATGTATTTAAATCAAGGCCTGAATCTAGAATTCCTCTGACAAGGGCCAGAATATCTTTAGAAAAAGAATTCCATCTCTATTTAGGAGAAAAACAAATACCAGGTCTGTTTGGCCAAAACAAAATTAAACACATTTATAACCCAAACCATGTCAATGCTTCAACGCACCAGAGAGGAGAGCCACACCCAGCTGCAGCTCCTTAGCTACATCATGGATGAGGATTTCTTCTTCATCAGTTGCCATGGTGACAGCATCATCTAAGGCACACAAAATGGAAACAAATTCCAATTTTACATTTGAAGGCAACAAGGCATTTCAAAGATATAGCAAAGGTTTTGAGTACTCACACATGACATGTACTAGTACATGTACATGTATGTATGAATAGTGTATCGTTACCAGTTTCAGTTTTGTTTGCAAGGTCATGAATATTAATATGTGTTAATTGTATGAATGTCCATGAAGGTAAAATGTACTGGACATTACATTCATGCAAAGAAGACCAGACACAGAATACTTACCATTGCAGTACCATGTTGTTGGCATCTTGAACAAGTTAAAATGTTAAAATAACACTCCAAGCAACAAAATTTAATGTACAGGAAGAATGATTTAAGCCAAGAGATATGGCATATCAGAATCAAACATATTATGAAGTGCAAAACAACACAAAAAGTGGTCTGTGTTCACTTTCACAGCTGTTCAGAATTCTACCAGTTGAAGCCCACATTCAGGTTTTCCTGAGGTTTTCTTGTAATGACTGGGCAGACTTCCCACAGGAATTACAAACAACATGCCAGCCAAGAATCCTGGGTCTGGTAAACCAATGAATTATTATCCAGGAGTTGTTCACACAGGCACACTCAAAACAACGACCAGGCAATATACATGTATGTGAAACTTCCCTCACCAATGCAGTCCGGTTTTTGTGTATTACACATCAGTGACACAAGTTTTCATTGGTGTGGTGGGAAGTGGGTTGGGAAATCCAACACTCCCCAATGGTGAACTGACACTATATGTGACTACAGTTTTTGGATGAGAGTTGGTTAGGCCTTGTCAACAATTGTACCTTCCTGTATTTACATGTACACGTACATGTATGTGTAGAAGACACAACCACTGAATCCTTTCCTGTGGTCATAATGTGGAAGTAAAGTCCCAGTAAAAGTAAAGGAAAAGATTCCTACAAGCTTGTACGCAGTGAGGTTAGGGTCAACTAAATTTCCATAGGGATAGTTTATACTAGTTCAAGTACATTGCACCCTTAACAAAGGTACATGTTCATGGACATGTTTCTTTACACAGTCACGATTACTTCAGATATTAAAAGTTCTAGTTAATTCAATGATTGAAGCCAAAACTTCAGTCCGCCCTAAATCATTTTTATATTGAAAAGGATTCTGGTCTGAAAAGTGCTGCAATTCAAACAACCTTGAAAATATTTTGATTTAGAACTATGCTACGTTTTTGTATCACTACCATTCTTGGGATGTTAATTAGATTTGTTTATTCACACAATTGACAGCAGCAGCTGTTGTTGCCACATGACAACGGTAAATGTGTGAGAATCAAATGTACAGAATAAAACTAAATATTATGAATATGTAATGTTTATTCTGGTGCTGAATTAATCCAAAGGTAGGTGAGGATGAAGGGGGAAGACGGGGGAGGAGCTTGTCTTTAATCACACACAAATTCAACAATTACTCATTTTTTACACTGTCACTGTTTTTGGATGCATTTTGTCGGACTTTGGTAAATGATTGAGCATTTTTGTGTAAATCACTCCCAAAATTTCCATGGTAAATGTATTTTCAGTCTTAGTATGCAATATTCGTTAGATGTAACAAGGGTCACTCTGCATAATTTATGCTTGGTGCAGGTGCATGCATTATTCTTACAGAGGCAATAATCTTTTCCATGTACATGTATTTTAATAAGCTACATGTACACGTACTTGTACGAGTTAGATTGTAGCAGATATAAAGCAAACCTTAATTCTTACAAGTTATAAGTACTTTACCAAGCTTTCTATACTGTTACATTTCCTGTCTGAGAAAACTGAACATACCAGTCCAAACATGATCGATATTTTGAGTGTTAGTAAATTTTACTTCAACATGTTGAAACTACCATGCTTGAAGTTAGTAATTCTCTCAGTCACTCCACACAAAGCTTTGTTTCTGGTTAGTAAGTCAAGAAATAAAGCGTGCTGTCACAGGCTCACAAAGCATGAGTTACCTACATGGAGAATGACATTGGCCGTGTGCTAAAAGGTTCAGGAGGGGATTCCTGTTTCCCAGGGATAATCTGACAATCTCTTGTCCAGTTTGTAAACTCCAAGCAATTAAAGCTGCCATCATGGTGGGGTCAGAGACCCACTGAGAAGGCCAAGATCATCTGGGAATTACAAACAAGCAGGATACACAGAGAATGGAGTTTGTAATTTAAGCAAAAAGCAAAATATACATAAAACAAATGAACAACAAAAGTGATGTTAAACAATGAGCCAGTTGGGTATTCCAACAGCGCATGCTCATTGCCCAAAATGAAGTGCGTCTGAGGTCATTTGGACATGCATGTGAAGTTGCCACATCAGCACGGCCCCATGTGGACACACATGTTGTGTTTCCTTGTGACCTTTCTGTTTTGAAAGACAAATCTGGCTCTTTCTAGTCAAAATGTACAATGAGGCTCATGTTCCATTTACAGTGGTATACCCTTCAGAACTACAAGAAACTTTGTAAACCTTTTGGGCATGTCGGGGATAACAAAGCAGTTTCTTCGGCTGACACCTGCTACCAATGTACAAGCACAACCATGCACAAATTAAAACTGGGCTGCTTACTCAGACTACCTGTACTTTATGAACACTACAGATGGTGCACATTGCATGCACAGCTAAGAATATTTTTAATTACTCTATGATTCCCGGAAATACATGTACACACTGCCATCAAAGGTCAAATGCTGCACGCAGTTTAACCCCCATCACAGTACAGAACCATAAGTACTGTGGATTAATACAGACATGTACAGGGTAAATAAAGCATGCAAGCAGCTACTCAGTTTTTCACAATGAAACATGTGCACTGAGTAAATTGTCAAATGAATACATGTACGGTATAAGACACAATTTTCATAATTTCCCATGACTCGATTTGTACTTGTCAACAGCTTCATACATGTACATGTAAAATGCATAATTGATGCAGACAGAATGATGAGGAACCTTAAACAGTAAAGCTAAATGTTGATGACATCATCTTTCTCTGATTGCTGGAAGCAAATCAAGTAGACTCTTTTTAATCTGTGGTATGGTCATCGCATGTATGACAATCCCCTGATCGATGGATAAACTGGTCTTACATGTACATGTACATGTATAAGTACCGTAAAAGAATTGGAGGCCTAGTGACGGAATGATCAATGATGTCTGAAGGCCAAATTGACTCTGTGCAGTGTGGCAAAAAGACTAGGAAAATAAAAGACTGTCCTTCAATTAAACTGTCTAGTTTTCACCATTTTGATTTATTGAATGATGTAGGTTTTTGGTCAGTAGTTTAAAACCCAGAAAAAACCCTAGACACATACATGTACACCTACCAGTACATTGTACATGACCGTGATGTTCTGAAAAACATGTAAGTCACAAAATAATGTATATCGGAACATAAATCACACATATGAATGACTGTGATGCAACAGTAATCTTCTAAGGTGATGAGGGTTTCATAAATACATGTAGTAGAATATCTACCAGTTTCTCAGTGTTCTTAAGACACAACAACACTCAACACAAGCGTTACATGTAAGAGAGAGGGAACAGTAATCAATCATGTCTGCCAAATTACAAAAGTCAAGGTCACAGTTTTATCACTTGATAAGCATTTGGAATGGTCATTATGACTATTATGGTGAAGATATTGGCTTTAGTTATCTCACTGAACCATCAACTGGTTATCCTCTGTAAGATGGCCATTATCAATATGCATAGACTTGGCTATTAAGCTGTAAGAATTTTCAGGAAATTTTTATCTTGGTAGAAAACAATGTACCCTGGATGTATTTGACAAAATGATGCTCATACATGTACATTGTATTTTTCATGAACTTTAGGGTAACACATTATGATTTCACGCATCTTTAAAACTGGCAACATCCCATGAAACAGATCGACCAACAACTTACATGTACATAATGTACACCTGTACATACATGTACATGTAGTCTACATACCCGGTACATTAACAACGGAAGCTTCCTACAATGCTCACGTGAGACCAAACAGAAGTCTGCTGCCAATAACATGCTTCATATATTCGCAGTACGTTTTTATATATTCACCATCTACAAATACCTAAATCCACATGAATGTAACACACACTGAATATTCTGTCTATGTACAGTGTACACACATGTACGGTACATACACTCTACCATTAATGTACATTGTAAATTGTCAAATAAGATGAAATAAGTCACAAGACATGTAAACATTCATGCAGGGCATTGATTTCATCCTAGAAATCCTTATTATCTAAGAGACAAAAGTCAAACGAAAATTACCCTCCAAGATGGATAATTGTGAGAAAAACTCAGAGATTGTTGCAAGGAAATTAAAGCTAAGGAAATACAGTACATGCGTGCTTTGAAGGTAAAACATAATGAGTTCCAAGAGTGCAGTTGCATACAGGTATGTACACATAATGATGTATGCAATAGATTTCTTGTCTAAATTCTGTGAGATTTCTAAACTACTACATTTTACATTACGAATCCAAAATAACTTCAAATGAAAACATCTACAGCAATACGCACCTATACTGTAAAAGAAGCCATTTTCGTCAGCACTGTACACATACATGGCCACTTTGTTTATGAGACTAGGTGTGTGCACATGTGTGTGAAGGGCATACAAGCAATCTATCAAATTGTCCAGTTCTTCATTTTGCGTGCAACTGGCCATGCAAACCACTAGGGAGACTAACATTATCATCAGACAATCCACAGACTACACGTGAGGCCTACGCACATCAGCACATCACGTCATCCATATACTTACAGCTAAGGGAATAATTTATCTACACGTATAACGGCAAAGAGCATGATCCGAGTAAAAACAGCATTTCTGAAGACTCTCTAGTTGACAAGAAACCTCTAATCAATGTCAAACAAAAATAATTATTATGACTCTTTCAACAATAATGTTTTTCTGTTGAATAATTTTTTTATGATGTTGATGATGGAGATGGGTCAGGCATGACATCATCACTGATCTTATGCACGCACCTGTTTGTGTAGTTTAGGAGGAGAATAAGCATCATCATCAAGAGCCAGATGTTTAGTTTATTGTGATGTGCCGTCAGACACAGGACATGATCCATGGCAAATTTCATCAAATTTTTTTATTTCTGAGATGCTTCAAAAGTCACCCATAGTACACATACACAGGCCATCTTTTACAAATGAATCACTACATGTACACTGTACATACATGTACAATCAATTTGATTTTCATTCAGAATGCTGTGGCCATTTCTAGAATGCTTTGCAGCTGGGAACATTAGCACATCACTACACCATCAAGTGCATGTATATCTCACTTTAATATTGTCAGAACTCTTTATTACCATATTGAATTACTCTTAGCCACACTTTTTCAGGAAGTCCTTGACTGTTTGCATCATTGCATGACTGTATCTTTTTAAGGCTGAGCTATAGATCTCATTTGTTGGTGATTTATCAAAACAATATTGCCAACAAAAAGCAGATGGGACATGCATATTTGTAATCTGATTTCCAAGGTCAAATTGCTAAAATTTGGTGTCCTTGGTTTCTGTATTTCATTATTTAATAAATCAAATTCCCTTAAAAATGGAACTTTGGAATAACAAAATGCTATGAAAAGACCAGGACATCTTGTGGCATTGCTGTTATTTCTACAACTTTATTTCTGTAAATCTCACTGTGCATAATTTTAACACAGCATCAAATACAAAAGGAAGCAACTCAAAAATTAAAGCTACTTAAAAATGGTTTCAGTTTAAAATTCAAAACAGTTTCAATTAAAAACTTCATAAATAAACTTAAATTAAATTAATTAAAAACTTCATAAATGTACTTCATGTACATGTACTTAATTGAGTAACACGCCAGCAATCAAATACTGGTGTAGAGAAAAAAGATATGAGTACATGTATATATACAGAACTTCACAATCAGCCTCTTACACACAAATTTCTAGGGCAAATTTTTCTTAACCAGGCCAGTGAAGTTGTTCTGTTATCTTGGTAATGAATCAGGGAGTGACCCGAGACATCTGAGGACAAGGTTGTGGTCATTCAAAGCATTCTGAAATGTCATCATCATTTTCTCATTGGAATGATAACAGCTGTTCTGCCTATAAATAAACTCATAATAGAACAGGAGAAGTAATTAAAGAAATTCCAAGGTAATTGAGGAATCTGACTCATAATGGAGCAGTTCACCAGTGTGTTATCATTGCTAAAATTGTTCAGATTATTTAAGTAAATTACACAAACTTCAAGACTTGAGCAGTTTTTTCTGTGCATGTACGTGTTTCTACAAGTAGTAATTATAAATACATGCCCGAGTATTCCTCAAAAGGAAATTGAGACACCAAACTGTGTTCGGACAAGCAAGCTGACTAGCTACAGTACAGTAGACTGTAGTTAAGTTAATGCACTACAGCCACCACCAAAGAAGTATACTTGATCAAGGTCTGTAGAATATGACAAATATTAATGAATTAACGGATGGCCAGCAATATGTGGTGGTTCATCTACACTGAAAATAATTCCTCAAACAGAAGTGCTTGATAAGTACCTGTACAATGTATTTCAAAACCCTCTTATGAAAACTCTAGTTTGAGGGACCTGTTGAGGATTCCTGTGATCACAAGTACAAATGGCAAACAAAACGTTGAATTATCAAACAAAGATGACATCACCAGCATTTACAAAGTAAAGATTCAAAGTTCATTTCAGGAATTGAAATGCCAACATGTGATCTATCCAGGGCAGTGGGGGAGGAATAAAAAAACTTTATCGTTTGGGGAGGATTGATCTTGGGGCAATTCTGATGGGAATTTCAGGATTCAAAAGTGGCTAAGATTCAAAACCTGAAGTGCAGAAAATGAAAGTCTGCTTGCTCTGAAATATTGATCTAACAAATTATATCACCAGCACTCTGCAGACGTGAACATCCCCAAATCTGAAGGATTAACATATTGACAGAAAGGAACAGATGCTTCCAACCAGAAATCCATCACATTCATGCACTGGGTTGCTTCATTCCACTGACACCTCCATCTGTATTTTTGTAAAACAAAAATGTGGAAAAATTCACTCAAAATGATCCATAAAAACATCGTAAACACTAACTCTAAATATCACACTGACTCTGGTACACACTGTAGTCTGTACATACATTCACAAATTTGTAGGGCTATGCAATGCAATATTTGTACATGTATGTGTATTTTGCATAACAACTGACACATTTGGAATATACTTCTAAACTCTGATCAACTTTCTTTTCAACGGGTAATAAAGATAAGCTTAGGAAGCTTTTCAATTCTATTATTTTAAACAGGTGTGTGAGTGGCCACTTAAAATTACAGCTGACAACAGCTACATGTACATGGTAGTAAAAAGCTGAAATGTAAAAGTTCCCATACTTTTGTAAAAACCAGGTATACAAGAAAGCTGAAATGTGAAAGTTTCCATACTTTTGTACAAACCAGGTGTACAAGAAAGCTGAAATGTGAAAGTTTCCATACTTTTGTACAAACCAGGTGTATAAGAAAGCTGAAATGTGAAAGTTCCCATACTTTTGTACAAACCAGGTGTACAAGAAAGCTGAAATGTGAAAGTTCCCATACTTTTGTACAAACCAGGTGTATAAGAAA